ACCTTCTCTTCATTTCTAATAGTTATCATTCCATTTCTTATTCAGACAAGCTTCGTATTCATAATGCAATTGCTACTCGTTCTATGTATGTCTCTATCTAGCCTGTAAATCTAACTGCACTATGGAGAAAAACTACACCATCCGTCTATGAGAAATCGTGACCTCTAGCAAGTTCGCACTGACGACACCACAACTCGACACCATCTTGTCCCTCACGTCGTCACTTCCGGTCATAGAAAAAGTCGGTACAGCGAGCTGATCTACATGTTGGCCAACCTGGGCAGGGTTGTCAAACACACAACCTTTCTCTTCCGGGTTGTCGTATTTGATTTGGGATTAACCGGCCAGGAGCGAGTGGATGTAGGTGCAGTATTGTGTGTGTGTGTGTGTCTGTGTGTGTGTTCTGTTTGTATTCAGCATCTGTGGCTGCCGGGTTTAAGGTGTATCTTGTAATCGGAGGCGTAGGGCTATGTGACGTCAGAGGCGTAGAGGTATGTGATGTCAGAGGCGTAGGGATTTTGACGTCAGAGGCGTATGGCTATGTGACGTCGGAGGCGTAGGGATTTTGACGTCAGAGGCGTATGGCTATGTGACGTCAGAGGCGTAGGGCAATATAACATCATAGGCTTAGGGTTATGTGACAGGTAAATGTGACATAATTAATAGGGCAGAGCTAAATGGCGTCAGAGGAACAGGAACCAGAGTTAGGCTTTTGTGACGTCAGAGTCGCAGCGGTGCGTGACGTCACAAAAGCAAGAATTTGTGACGTTAGGAGCATACATGCACGTATCATTAAAGGCGCATCCACCAGAATTAATTTTGTGCATATATCGCTACTGGTGCTCTGCAGAAAGTTGGGCGTGCGGGTGGGGGAGGGGGGTGAAGGGTTGTCAGATATCTACACCTTGGTGATATGTAAAGCTATTCCAAAACTCTAAATTTTCAGAATCAGGTCATTTTGCATCCCAGGATTCAAACTGCAGAGTCTACTCAGCTCTGAATAGTACCTGGATACAAATACACTCAAAACACCAAACTCCCCCCCCCCAGCCACCCACGCACCCCTCAGTAATTGGACCTTACGCCGCTGAATGCTGTCTGCTCAATGAACACGTGTAATCCGATTACACGAGTCAATACATTAGTAAACTAATGTCAAACGATAATCTCTCGGATTAGCTGGATTACTTAAGGGCTGGCTCAGTTTTCTAAATCCTCTCCTTGTGTGGTAGTATCCGATAGTGTGTGTGTGTGTGTGTGTGTACTCGTTACAAACATTGCTGAATGGAAAAATAGAACACGTATCACGACACTCGAATACTATCGTCAGATAATATAGTAACGTAGTAGGTAGTTTTTCTTTATTTGTGAAGTTCATGTATATTTCTTAATTAATATACTTCTATACGTTTTATTTCTCAAATAATCATTTATTTTTCAAATCAAACCTATCATGACCCCCCCCCCTCCATCGTCAATCTTGTATAGGAACCAGCACGGAAACCTGTCTGTGTTTATTTAATTCACTTAAGAGTAATTTTTTTTTACTTCGCTGGGAATTCACAGCTGCAACACAGTGTTTCTTTCAGGCATTTTTTCTCCGTGGGGAGGGGGGGACACTTGAAATATATGGTGGGGGTACTTGAAATATATCGGTGCACTTCAAATATACGGTAGGGGTACTTTACATTTATAGTGGGGGCACTTGAAATATATCGGTGCACTTCAAATATACGGTAGCGGTACTTTACATATTTGGTGGGGGGGGGGGGCACTTGAAATATATCGGTGCACTTCAAATATACGGTAGGGGTACTTTACATATTTGGTGGGGGGCACTTGAAATATACGGTGGGGGGGGGGGGGTATTGAAATATACGAATGTGTGAGGGTACAAAATAGGCCGTGAGGTGGGGTGGACACAGGTTATACATCAATTTGACCATCCCGTCTGCTCGAATAGATGCCTGAAAGAAACTCCGCTGAAACAGTTACAATTTAAAAACAAGCAAAAAGTATCTGAACAATTTATTCCCCAGTTAGAGACAACCTTCCAGTGTCAGATTGTTGATCTCCCTCTACATGTGATCCCTCTGCATGTACGGGACTTGGGCTGCAAGGGTTGGAAGCCTATAGTCATTAGGGTAATGAATTGGTGATTATAAAGTTATAATCATTAGGGTAATTAATTGCTGATTATAACGTTATAATCATTAGGGTAATTAGTTGATTGACTAGTAAACTAGCTATTCATAAAGCTATAACCATCGGGGTTTTAGTTTATTATATAGTGAGCAGGCTTTCATACATATAAATTAGAAAGATAGATACACAGGTACATACACAGACAGCTAAACTATTATATATATATATATATATATATATATATATATATATATATATATACATATAATGTACATATAATATACATATATATATATATATATATATATATATATCATCCGATGGGTTGGTGCACATAAATCTAAGCCCGTCTGATATCATCCGATGGGTTGGGACACATAAATCTAAGCCCGTGTGAAATCATCCAATGGGTTGGTGCATATAAATCTAAGCACGTGTGATATCATCCGATGGGTTAGTGCACATAAATCTAAGCCCGTGTGATATCTAATGGGTTGGTGCACATAAATCTAAGCCCGTGTGATATCATCCGATGGGTTGGTGCACATAAATCTAAGCCCCTGTGATATCATCCGATGGGTTGGTGCACATAAATCTAAGCCCGTGTGATATCATCCAATGGTTTGGTGCACATTAATTCCGCGTGATATCATCCGATGGGTTGGAGTTGATTTTGTCAAACACAATGTAGATATTGAAGCATGACCCTGCTTCTTCTTTCTTAATTTCAGTGTTAGAAGGAATTCCATCCAACACACTTAAGTATTATGTTTCAACTTGACTTAACATGACTTCCTCTTTGCTCCTTATGGAACATAGGACCTTCACCATTTTTTAACATTTCTTCCTATCCCCGGCAATTAATTTTGTCGCCTCGCAAAGACATCCCTGTTGGCTTTAGTTCTTCGAAAAGACTCTGCCTCCAGGTCTGTCTTGGGAGCCATCTCTTTCGCTTTCTCTTGGGTTCAATTTATTAAGCGCCATATAGAACGTTGACTCTGATTTAAGCCTGCTTTTCTTTTTGGATTTGCTTTCATTGCCTTTGTCCAACCAAAATTCAACAACATGGCAGCAGTTGTTTGATTTTGGGAGTTGTCCTTCCTAGAAGAGTTGCTGTCCCCAGCTATCGAGCCACATCAGCCTGAGACTCGGTGCTCTACGGTTCAGCAACCATGAGCTTAACCGACCCGACCAGACCGACCCCCTGAAGCATGGTAATATCTATATAATCTATATCTGAACTGACTCACGCTAAAATTCGCATAAAATATAGCCAACTAAAAAAATAATAATAATATACTAAGATTTTAAAAAAAGATTTGTTCGAATGAACTTCTTAGTTAAAATAACCTATACTTAAAAAAAAGAAAAGTAAATTTATTGTCACTTATCAATGTGTCACTATTTTTCATATCAGATTTAACTGTCATTTTCATTTCAATTCGTACGTGTGAATGACACGAACGGTACCGAAACTGAGGGTCAAGCGTCCATGTCAAAATGACATTTTTAAAACAGTCCAGTCTAGTCTCAACATTCTTTTTCATTTAAATTTATTTACCTTCCATTGATCCGCCGGTAATGCGGGTTTAATGTATCGAATTATAAAATGACGCTGTTCAGTTTCCGTACTAATACGTCTTAAAATTTGAAAACAATAACCCGGATCTTAACACGGAGTACATAAAGCATAGTTGACTTAATCATGTGATACTCCTAATTTTTGTGGTGTTATTAAAGTATATTTGACTTAATCTTGTAATGCTCCTAACATTTTATACATAAAGCGGAGTTGACTTAACCCGTGAAGCCCCTAAAACGGTGTACATAAAACATAGTAGACTTAATCCTGTAAGCACTAACCTTTGTAGTGTACATAAAGTATAGTTGACTTAATCCTGTGCAGCTCCTAACATTGTTAAGATCACAGTTGACTTAATCCTGTGAGGCTCAAAAATAGTGTACATAAAGTATAGTTGACTTAATCCTGTGAGGCTTCTAAATTGTGTACATAAAGCATAGTTGACTTAATCCTGTGAGGCGCCTAAATAGTGTACATAAAGTATAGTTGACTTAATCCTGTGAGGCGCCTAAGTAGTGTACATAAAGTATAGTTGACTTAATCCTGTGAGAGTGCTAACATAGAGTACACAAAACATTGCTTTCTTAATCCTGTGAGGATCCTAAGACTGTGTACATAAAGCAAAGTTGACCTAACCCATGTGAGGCTCCATGTGTAGGAAAGGTTTGCGAACTTTTTAATCGCACTCGAGTGTGGCTGCCTGTATTAAGCTAGACCCATGTAACTCCTACACGCCTTGCTACACTTTCTATAGCTCTTCTACAAGATTTAGTTCATCTGCCAAACTTTATGGGTTCCATTCTCGAGCAAAGCTAGAAATTTGTTTTTTGTCAATGCACAATGTACAGCGTATTGCTCAAGAATTGTGTTCTACAGTTCCCATGGCTTAGATTTTAATTAAGTCCACTAAAGAACTGTAATGCCGGATCTCAACATCTATGATGAAACAAGAAATTATCGTGACGCCAATCATATTTTGTGGTAAAGACGCGGAGTCGAGAACGTTTCTGAATGTTCAGTGACATTCTTCATACATTTAATCTGCCTTCATTCTTTTTCAATATCTACACATCGTCAATATTTTATACTTCTTATTTATACATTCATAAATCTTTTTTCCCCTAGTATATAAATTGATTAATCAAACAAAGTGTGCGATTTTTTTTTATCTCAATGTTTCTACTATTTTTAAATTTAAATAAGCCAAAAATCAATGTTGAAATCTGATAATAATTGTTTTTTTACATTTGTAGCAAAGCAGTTCGGTCTTTGGCTGGTATATAAAATTACAACACCGTTTTCTTTGTAGTTTGAAGTTGTTTTACATATTAACAGACAACATAGATAACCAGCTTATCAAATGTGACAAAACTGCTCAGAATTAAAAAATAAATAAATAAGGAGATAGTATGCCTTTTCTGCTACAAGGCAACGTTAACAATAAATGCGTTTATTTATTTCCTGAAACCGGAAAGCATTGATGTAACACGATATGCTATAGTGCTATACATGTGTGTTGTATAATACATCTATTATGAAACGGAATTTTGTGAGGTTGCATTAATTAAGTATAGGATATTCGGAAGTACATTAAACATGTTTTGTAAATGTTTTTCCAAGAAATGTAAGTTGGATTGACTTTAAAAAAAAATTATATGAAATTTTAATTATGTGAAGGTTTTTTTTTAAAGCCGTATTTCGATTGTGTTTTTACCGAAAGATATGTTTTAAAATTTAGCGCTTAAATTAATAAACATAAAAAAATAATTATTTCAATAATAAAATATTACATCTAATTTGGAGATTTTCATTAAAATTTGCAGCTAAGTAATTTAATTAACGATCGATAATACTTTGTTTAAATATGTAAATAATTTTTTAAAAGCGGGAGTAAGCTCCCCATTACTTTCTTGTATATTTGTATAAAGTAACGGTTCGGAAGGCACTTCTAGTGGAATAGCGCTATAGAACTGGTAGGTTTGTTTGAAAAAAAAACGCTTTTTACTTTCTTAAAAAACGGAAATAAAGTATCTCTTTCAGTTACAGGTGATGCAAAACTAGAAATAACCGAGGCGTAGCATCGTATACTTGTACATGAAATTTCATCCACCAAACTGAAAAAGTTTTCAATTTGTTGAGCACATGGAAGTAGAATAATATACCATTTCCGTTTAACGGAAGTCTCTTAAAATTTGAAAGAAGCCTGCGAATACGATCTCATACAGATATGTAAAATGTCGTCCGCCTAACTGAAACGGTACTGTAGTTATAGCTTTTCGCAAACCAGAAATATAGTTAGTAACACTTCCGGTTATCGAAAATTGACTAAAATTTGAAAAAAACAACTGAAGAATTGGATCCAAATTTTATTGATTAAACTTTGTACATCTAATTAAAACATACTCAAGTTGTCGTGAACGCACAGACGACAGACTTGTTTTTTTTTTCGGATTCATGTAGATATAAAACGTAAAAATTAATCGAATTCTATGAGAGACTACTCCAAAATCGAACAACTGCTGCCTTGTAGTTTGTTCTTGGTTGGACAAAGGCTATGGAAGCAAATCCAAAAAGAAAAGCAGGCTGAAATCGGAGTCTAAGGCCTCAATGGCGCATAACCAGTTGACACGTATACTTGTGTTGGAGGGGATCCATTCCAACATTAATGTTAAGAACTAAGAAGAAGAAAGAGCGAATTCTCAATTTTTATTTTTGCACGCTTACAACATTTTCTCCTGTAGGCCTACTCTGAATACGATTATATATATATATATATATATATATATATATATATATATATATATATATATATAATATATATATATATTATACGTTGTATATTTAATATTAAATTTTATAATAGTTCGCTATTTAAAAGTAAATTTATTATTGTTCGATAATTAATTTAAAAAATATTTCCAGCTTTCATTGCAGTTGTTACTACTGTCCTAGTCTTTTGTGGGGTGCTACAGTTTCAGGTTATCTCACTAAGGCTTACCCGGCATCGCTTTTCTTCAAAAGGTAATTAGAACATTTTCATGATTATATTTTAAAAGAAAGAAATCAGTTCATAAAACTTTACCTAATTTATTGAAAACAGTGGAAGTTCAAAATGGTTAGAATCGGATATATTAGATACAATGTGTTAAGCTGGTATTTATAGTCGAATTGTGGGACTAATTAGAAACACATTAAACCTGGACTGGTCATCTTTAGAGAAAGGGTAAAAATGTGTATGTTGTAATAGCTGCTAGCCTGTTTTTGTACCGGGGGTACGCCATTCAGCGCCGAGTCTAAACAAGTACTTGTCGCCTTGTAAATTAACTAAAATAAAAAGAAAATATGCTAATACTGATCCAATCCAAGATTTTTGTAGAGCAATGGACCCAATTTTGTTTTTTATAAGCAAGAACTCATGAAAACTACTGTTACAATTAATTTTCCAGACAGAAGTGTACTTTTTCCAGAAAAATCATCCATATTATTCTTATTCAAAACTAAGTAAAAAAATGAGTTTCTTCAATACACAATTTCTTAAAATTAAAATTAGTGTGTAGGGAATTCAATTACAATTAATTTGTATCGAAATGAGCGGGTTTTAAATCAACGAGTAAAATAATAAGCGTCGTTTTGCGACAGGGGTACTGAAAAAAACTGAGTGAAAAAAAATTCCGATAAACGTAAAAATAATTCCAAACTAAAAGAAACAGCTGCTAGCGTATTTTTGTAATTTCTCTTAGCTGTTTTTAAATGTTAGTTCGTGATAAATAATAGTATTTCGATAGTTCAGAAATCAGAGTATTAAAACACTAACCAGAGTAAAACAATAAAAACACATTTGAGTTAACATTTCGGGCCTGATTTTCCATTAAGTAGCTGAAGTCTAGTTTGTCTGTTTTTGTAACCCGGTCTAATAAGAGATAATGTAGTGAGTACTGTGTCTTGCCCCGACGTTAATTTCCATACCTTGAGTCAGATACTTATCAGAGCTGTGTGAACTCAGCGATATCCTTAAAAACCTAACCTGTTTATTTTTACTTAACAGTGGTCAACTGGATGCTGTATGATTCGACGATCAGGGATTTCATTGGACGACTTAATCACATGATCACACGGGATACCGACGCGCCTCTACGTTTGTTTTCAGCGGTCTGCAGCAACGAAACAAAAAGTTTGTAAACTATTTTTACTCAACTATGTTATATATATACAGCTTTTAGATTGATATTGGTAACTTCGATGTGCTATTCGTTTTTAATTACTTCTAGTGTGTTTATAGATTAGCTCAATATTTTAGTTTAATACTTTTACTCTCAATGCAGGTGTCTATTGTTCAATCATTAGGTCAACGTTTTTGTTGTACAGGTCTCTTGTTCAATCATTAATTCAACGTTTGTTGTCCAGGCGTCTATGTTCAATCATTAAGTCAAGGTTTCAGTTGTACATGTGTCTATTGTTCATTCATTAAGTCAACGTTTCAGTTGTAATGGTGTCTATTGTTCAATCATTCAGTCAACGTTTTCGACAAAGTTTTAACCCTTGCAATCCACGCTTTGAATGTATAGTTGTTGTAATAGTTTGAATAACTATTTTATTTTAAAATTTGTGTGGAGTTGCATTACAATTTATATTTTAGTGCTTCTTTGATCGTCAATGCCCTACATTTATTTTTGTTCAAAACATTTCTAAAACTTCAATCAATTAATCACTTACTTTTTATAAAGCTCGTTCTAAATAATCAATGTTGCAATAAAGAGACCAACCGTTGCAGTTTAAAACAAAATTAGCATACATGTTTAAATTGCATAGCTAAACCTAATTTTAAAAAATAATCCTAAATTGATTTAGATTGTTGCTGTTTGCCTTTAGCTACATACAATATGGCTTGTGGTTTGAATTTGGGAGGTAAAGTTAAGTTTCTATAAGGCTAGATTTGGTTACTTTTTGTTGGCTACGTTTTGTTTGGTTAGATTAGGTTTGGTTAAGTTTGGTTAAGTTGTATGTGTATTTATGTTTATATAATGCTATCCAAAGATGCTTGCATATCTAACTGTACACGACCTTTGAACCCTGACCCCGAGACCCGGTTGCTGGACATTCTGACGTCACCAAACCTGACGCTCTCCGAACACCAGCGTCGCCTGATCCTCTCCATGGGCCAGGCCATCCCTGAGAGTGACGTCATCTTCGTGTCCGCCAGCTCCTCCAATCACTACGACGAGATGCAGGACATGTTCTATAGCCTGCACCAGACGGTGTATCCTCGTGTCAACAATTTCACCGTTGTTCTCTTCGACATTGGTTTAACAGAGGAGCAGAGGATCATAGTGAGTCGTTGGGGCTTTGTATGTGTGTAGGAGTCAAGGTTAAAATCCACCACACCTGTGTTTTTTTACCATTTCATTAAATATTAGTTTGACAAAATATGTTTTAGAAACTGCGCAACGCCATTAGATATTCAATAAAATAGATAACAATTATTACATAGAATCAATTTACTTTGAGTAAAGCAGACACTGAAGTCTTTTTCCCGTTCATGGCCATGACACACAGGGAAGACGACGTTTCATTTACTTCGGCATTTTAAAAGATAGTGTGGTCAGGACAATGCCTAGCCGCATTTATTTTCTTAAACGTGATTTGAGTATGCATCAGCGCTGGGTGACTTGAATTCAGATTCAAACTCGTGACTTTCGGGTTAGCAGTCTATCGCTCTACCGCTAAGACCTCGCCATCTCTGAAATTGTGTATGGAGAGTAGTTTCGTCTAGTTTTCATACAGAGGAAATATAAATATAAAATGAAACAAGTGGGTATATCACCCCACAGAGGTGCACGTCCACCGCCCCTCCCCTTACCAAATAGAAAAAAAGAAATATAGAAATATATACACTACCCCACCATACCTTTATGTCATACCTTGTTTGAAAAACTGACACACGGCTGTTCTATGAATGTTGATCACGTGTATTGTTGTGTAAGATTGACACACGGCTGTTCTATGAATGTTGATCACGTGTGTTTCGTTGTGTAAGATTGACACACGACTGTTCTATGAATGTTGATCACGTGATTATTGTTTCACCCAGACAGAAAAACACTGCCGGTGTCAAGTTGTGAATTTTCCCTTTGAACATTTTCCAGCGCACGTCAAGGAAAATTTTTGTTACGCTTGGAAACCTCTGCTGATACGGGTAGGTGACAACTCTAGATTGTCACTGAAGTAAATCTCGACATTAGAGAATATTATATTGTAAATGGCTGTACAGTAAGTGGGGTAGAGTGGTCGGGTGTTAGAGCTCACGGATACAAACCAAGGGCTGAAGCTGGTCCTTGAAATGAAGCTACAACAAAATAGACGACAGGTCTTTCTACCAATGATATTTTTGATGTAAGTCACCCCCACCCCAATCACACTCACCTGCTTCTTAAACAGGTATAAAAAATTATAGTTTTATATTCTTGTACATGTGTCCGCCCCCGCCCCCCCCCCCCCTGAAAAGATAAAGATGCCTGGCCATTGGCACAGCCGCACCTCCCCAAGCGCTATGATCAAATAAACTACATGTAATCAAACATTTGACCACCAGATGCTGTCATTAAAAATCCACGCTTAATGGAATATCCATAAAGGTATTCTCACCACGAAATAGAATTTTTGTGTGTAATGGAAAATGTAATGGGAAATACAAAAATTACACGAATAGCTTCATTGATCCGCCAAGTTGATTGGTGCAGCTTGGAAAATCGACCAACTGGTAACAATCACAGCTAGAAAACTTCAAGCACAACCAATAATAATTAAACCATTTAAAAAAATCAAGAGTAAGCTCCCCTAAACGTTTTCATGTATTCCAATATTTAAGTAAGTGTTGGGATAGTACTTTCCGGTAAATTTGTGACAAAACAGTTCGTTTTTCGAGGAAAGATTTAGAGACGCAATGCTTTTAAAAGACGCTGCTTTATGAACCATTGATATAAATTATTAAATTCTGAAAGGTTTTAAGATACCGCAAATAGAATAAAGTACCACCTCCTGTTAAAAAACCGTTCAACTTGAAAAAAAAAGGTCTAGGATTATAATTAGGGGGCACCCCCTACACTACTCCTCACAACTAGACAGACACACCTACAGTCAAGATTGCAATATTTTATTTTTTTCCCAACACAACAACGTGTTGAACTTCCAGATTTTAACGTCGAGATTTAAAAAGTTTATACGTTTCTTTTTTGCACAATTGCAATGCTTTCTTCTATGTTCCATATACGAGCAGAGTTTCTTCCAGGCATCTGTTTTTTTGGGGGGTGCCCCCCCCCCCCCAAAGAAAATCTCACCCCCTCCGAACGAAATGGCATTTATATAGAAAATATATACTTTTGACTGTGTTCGCCCCCCGGGAAATTGTCCGCCCCCCCCCCCCCCCCCCCAAAAACAAATTTCAAGTGCACCCCCGGAGAAAAAAGTCTGGAAGAAACACTGTATACGAGGTCGTTAAGAAACGTATCCTTGTATTTTTAAGCCGACTCATGTTTCTAGAATACATTTGCCGATATATCATGAATATTTTGTCCATTTTGAACCCAAGACACTTCCTAATATATTTTACTATAAATAAAAATCTAAACAAATTACCGTATTTATGTGTGTCTCTTCATGTCAGGCTACTATAGAAAAGGCAAGAAGACTTCTGGTTTACCAAGACGCATCCGTCAGATGGTCTGACCGCATCCAACAGGTTCTGGACAGGACGTGGGACATTGGCATCCAATACTTCCGGTCAGATGACATGGCTAGGATACCCCTGCATACCCTGATACAGGTGAGCTGGGTGGAATACTCGCTTATAGCCTACTCAAAATTGTAAGTAATAATATTCCTCTTTAGACATCCATTTGACAGATGAAGTAGTGTTCATACGTTTCTTGTCCTCGACATATGAAACGAAGATGTGGTGGCACTTTGCCCAGCTACCTTTACTTACCCTAACATGAGTTAGGTAGGCCCTACCCATCAGAGCTGGGTGGAACGTTCTACTTACTTAGACCCGGATTTGAACTCGAGACTTTTGGGTTAGAAACTTTGCGCTCTACCGCACCGTTCTATATACTTATATAAACTACACACTATTATACCGGAGTGATTTACTTAAGGTAGTACTGCAAGGTTGGATGATAGAATTATGGTCCGGTAAAGTGCCTGGGATCGACATTAAGGTTTGGTGTTGGGTTAGGGTTAGATTTCAGATCAGAGTTAAGAACAGATAATGCTAAGCAACTATACTTTTGTTATAGTCATGCTAGAACTCTGAATACTATATAGACGCAAATTAGACATAAGACACGCAAGGGGGGGGGGTCGTGGAGTCGAGTGACAGACACTCTGTGTTACGCCTTCCAAGACGGTGACAGCAAATTTAAAAAAAAAAACGTCAATACAAAAAAAAACCCGCTCTTTTTAATATAATTTAATAACATCTGTATACTACCATTCTTAAAATGATTTTTGTTTAATGATTATACTTTCGACTACTTTGGAGAGGAGCCTTGTGCCTTCAACCTATTCCCAGAGTTACCTGCAACCCTCTCCATGTACAGGAAGGATATCTTTAACATCCGAGCTATTCTGGAACCGTGGGCCAGGTGTGCCATCGAGCCGGAGTGCGTGTGTCCGGTCAACCCCTACAAGGTGATCGGGTGTCATGGTGAGCACAAAGATCACAGATGTCATAGGTTGGTAGATGTCATGTTTACGGCTTAATATATATATATATATATATATATATATATATATATATATATATATATATATATATATATATGAATTATTTAATAAGTATACATACACACACACACACATATATATATATATATATATATATATATATATATATATATATATATATATATATATATATATATATATATATATACTAGCTGCATCCCGTGCTCCGCCACGGTAAATCTTTTTTAAAATTACCAACTTGGGAACAGAACAAAGCTAAACACAACACAACACAAACGAACGCAAAAAAAAACACAAACGAAAAAACAAACACAACACTCATAACATAAAGACAATTTAAATGCAATCATAAAGGCATATTGCTCACAGTAGCGCCAAAACCGCGCCCTTTCCGTGCGCCGGCGGACGCGTCTGACATAGTGAATGACTACAAAACAAAAGTTACGATTTGCACCCCCTCCCCTCAAAATTTCAATTTCCACCCCACCCCCGTAAACTTTCGATTTGAACCACCCTCAGACTTTCGATTTGCACCACTTTTGTTTTTAAATTCCCCCCGCTCAAACATTTGATTTGCACCCCCTTCAAACTTTAGATTTGCACGCCCCCCTCGCAAATTTTTTCCAACTGACTTTGGCGCCCCCTAAGGTCGGCAACCGGGAACATATGCCCCCCCCCCCTCGCTACGCCTCTCCTATAAAACCCCCAGCTTGTCCGCAAACCGAAAGATAGAATAATATTAAATAATATACAATAAATAATAGGCAATATTTAAAATATCCGTGTTTTACCTGTCATGTATCACTTTATCAATTCACGCATTTTTTCCCAGTACTTTAAATTTTAAAAATTTACAATAGAGTTTCATAACTAAAACCATTTCGCACCCAATGCACGTGATGACGTGTCTATAATATTGCGGAATAGTTGATTAAAAATTTTAAGTAGTAAACAGTAAATTCAGTGAATGAAATAAATAAAAGATTGCCTTTTATAAATCCATGCTAATTATAATTTTCTAACAACAATTTCCCCTTCCACATCCGCACAATTTGCATTCACATTTTGCTAACTATATTATTGCAACACTAATTCCTTCTAGAATGTCCGTATATTTGCATTTACATTTTTTTATTAGCGTGAGTTTAATTTATTTTTAAATTACCCCCTTGTCAAAATTAGAAAAAAGAGTTAAATTAATTTGATTTTTCTACCATACTGTTATTATGTTATTAAAATGTATCCACTTTTTCTGGGAATCTAAACGAAAATGATATTTGACATTGATCCTTTTAATATGTTTTAGCGATGTGCGTGTATTTAATATTTTCTTTACATTATGCAAAAGAGTAAAAACAGTGGCATTTATAAAATAACTTTATTTCGTTATATAAACAAACCCTACCTATAAATTATAATAAGACACTGCGGTGCACTGAAAAGCACTGCATGGTGCGATGTTTACTTTTATGGTTCCAAAATCTATAACGATGACAGAAGGAAGGAAGGACTGACACACTACTTGCCCGCTTATATTATATATATATATATATATATATATATATATATATATATATATATATATATATATATATATATATGAATTATTTAATAAGTATACATACACACACAAATATATATCATATATATATATATATATATATATATATATATATATATATATATATATATATATATATATATATATATATATAAGTATATCGTTATTTTATCATTTTGAATCTCATATTTGCAGGTTCGATCAGTCAGCAATAGGAATGATAACTGCGAAAATATTCGGTCCTGATTTATACCGAGTGCTTGCCCCTGAGCATGATCAGTTTGTCGGTGTTTATCGTGATTCGAAAAGGCCAAACTACTTTAACTCAACACAAAGTTAAACACCTTTTATTTTTTTACCTAAGTGTGTTTTATATTATGTATGTTTTAGAACTTAAGGCCAGAAACTACTTTTGAAATTAAAAAGAAAGAATCAGAGTGTTTCATTAATCCAATTACATTTTTTCTTTCGAACATAAAATTTAGTTAAATCTGGCCTAGGAGCAATGGTAACTATGTACGAAGTATAAGCATAAAAATATTTTAAAACCTCTATAACATTAAACAAAAGTAGATGGCGTTATGCATAATAACTTTAAGTCTTGTTTCAATGCACTAGGAGGTTAATTTTGAAGTTTGCGTAGACATAAAATGTTTTGGAAAACGTGAAATAAAGTTAAAAAGAGCATTGTAAGTTAGCTCTTACAGAAAACAATAAATTATAATACACAGAAGAGCCCTTTTTATGGTATTTTTTTTTAGTTCAATCAGAAAACGTGGGTTTTTAATTTTTTTTAATGAAAATTATTATGATACAGCTCATGCATATATTTGTTAAAAGCTATAACACAATTCTATTTAAGCAGAAATAATGTATACGACATGTAACAAATTAGAATAAATAAATAAATAAATCCATGAGATCTTTTGAATGGGGGGGGGGATGTAATTTGGGCACCAAAGATATTTATGTGGTGTGTCTAAGGCTAAGTGTCCGATGGCGACGCCCACCCCTCTCCATGCCTGACAACAGCCGCATGCCTCCACCTTGCTCACGAACATGTGGCCGTTGAAGTTCATCTAGGAACTCTTGCGCCCTGGCTGTGACCTTTACTTGAAGGTCTTACTAATTAATAACTTTTAATAATTAATATTAATCTGCCTGGAAGAAACTCTGGTTAGTGTGGTCAGCACTTTGCCCATCCGCCTTAATTTCCTTAACGTGAGTTAAGCACCCTATTTTTCAAGATCGGAAGACGCTGCAATATGCCAGAAACTTTTGCTGAACTACATTTTTTATTATATGATAATCCACTTTTTGTCTTTAAAGAATATATTTACTAGCTAGAGGGAGAAGGGGGGATTTCCTTTACAAGGTAACAACGCTTTTACTATTGATAAGCTTTTTGCACCGTGAACACAGTTTGAAATTTTACAGCAATAGTTAAATACAAGTCACAAGATTTGTAAGAAATTAGATGTTAAATAAAGCATTTAGTGAGTAATTTGTGTTGGTTGTGTTGTTGTTTTAGTTGTTTTATTTTTGTTGGGGGTGTTTGTTATATCAGCCGTATTAATCGTTTGGTTGTGTTAGATGTGTTGGTGGTGGTGTTGGTGGTTGTGGTGGTGGTTTCTTCCAATGTTGCAGCCTGTAGATGTCACCTCTGAACCAACATCTAGGATTGTTTAAGTTTAAGAGAAAAAAGAACAGAAACTTATAACTTATAACTTATAACTTATAATCCCGATTTCCGACCCCCGGGCAGAAGAGGCTCGTAACCTGGGGACATCAACCAAACTCAAAGAACGTTTACCTTTTTGATAAGACAAATATAACTTTAAATCAGACTGACCGGAGTCAACAATCCATATACCGCATAACATGTTGAAAGTGATTTTTAATTATATTGATGGCTATTACCTTTTATATTCCAAATAAGAACGAAGAAGAAGAACTTCAAAAATACTGTACCGTTTTTGTTACTTTTGACTATTTTTTTTTAGACACGGGTCTTTGCCTTTTTAGCCCCGTTTTCTTCACTTTCGCTTGAATAGCCGTTCAGTGTTTCTTCCAGACTTTGTCTCTGGAGGGGGGTTGACTAAAATTTCCGGGGGGGGGGGGGGGGTGGGGCGGACAATGGTAAGGGTATATATTTTAAATATAAACTATCTTTCATTGAGGTGGGGGTGGGTAGGTGGGGGGATAGACGTTTTTCCAATAAGAAAATAACTTTTTTAACTTGAAATATTCGGGGGGGGGGGGGGGGGGGGGTGGAGTGGGGGGGGGGGGGGGTCAAAGCCGACCCCTTCCCACCCCCCCCCCCCCCCCCCGAATATTTCAAGTTAAAAAAGTTATTTTTTTATTGGAAAAAAAATATACAATACATGTTTGGATAACTTTATTACAATGTTTTACGCAGAATATAGAAAAGAAAGCACTGTTTGACAGAATCCTCAATCCCTTCATGATTATGATGAATCACACAAACATACATCAACGCCATACAACTTATTGATCTCCACATCTAACGAAATATTTTACTAACCTCCCCCACCCTCCTCATGTCGTTCAGTGTCACCTGACAATATTTCCATTTTTATTAACACTCAACTGTACACGGAAATGTTTTTTTTTTTCAATTTAACCTACAATCGAAATAAATCAAAAATTATAAGTAGGGTTGTGACAGGCAATCCGGACCAGCGTGCAATTCATACCACCCTAATTTCACTTAACCTAATTGATGTCAGTGGCGTCGCTAGTTCGGGTGTCATTCAGTGCGGCTCTTCGTGGTGTCACCCCCCAAAGAAATAAAGTATATATATATATATATATATATATATATATATATATATATATATATATATATATATATATATATATATATATATATATATATATATATATATATATATATATATATATAGACAAATGGGTAAAAACTGCTCCAGTAATGTCGGAGGGGGGAGGGGAAATGTCGGTGTGGAGGGGGGGGGGGTAATGTCCTTCCACTGAAAAATCAAATATTTAATAGTAAATATGCGAGATAAAAACACAAGATATTGTCTTACTATACGAAAGTTCGGGGCGTTGATAAAACGACCAAATTAAACTTTTAAGGATCTTAACTAAATTAGAATGATATTTAATGGGTTTTTTGGAAGAATTGTGTTTACTATAGTATTATTCGACAGAGCATCATTAAAACAAACCGGGAGTGATCTCCCCTAAACTTTCTCGAATATTCTTATATAAAATAACAGGGGATGGGAACTCGGGCTATAGCCATGATTTTTAATCCATTTTAAATACTTAAAGTTTTAAAAAAAAGAATAAATTCTCGTAGACAAAAGAATTGCACACTAAGCGAACGCCAAATAAAAGAGTGCATAATAGTGCGCAATATTATTAGTACTTTAAAAATTTACAATAGTTTTTTGAGAAATCGGAAGTAGCGTAAATTACTACTTCCGGTCACCGGAAATTACTCAAAATTTAACAGAAGGTAGAGAATTAGATTTTTTACTAACGTGTGAAATTTCATTAATCTATCTGAAATAGTGCTCAAGTTATAGGCTTTTGAAAAATTCAAAGTAGGAAAAGTACCACTTCCGGTTATCGGAAATCGATCAAAAGTTGATACGTATCTAAGATTTTGATAAAATACATATATATTAAATTTCATAAACCTAGCTGAAACGGTACTTAAGTTATCGTGTTTACACACGGACACACACACACACACACACACAGATAGACAGACACACAGACATACGGACAAGATTGCAAAATTATGTTTTTCCGTATCAGTGAGGTGTAACACGTCGAGATTTGTAAAAATCTCGATTTTTTTTTGCACGATTACAAGACTTTCTCTATACTTCGTATATACGAGAAAGTAAAAAAACCAGAATGATCTCAACTAATCTTTCTCGAGTATTCTTATATGACACTACTGGGGATGGCATATTTTTAAATCCTTTTTTAATTACTTAAACTTTTCAAAATAGAATAGAATCTCGTAGAAAAAAAGAATTGTGCACCATGTGAACGCCGAACAATATCTGTATAATAATGCGTAATATTATTAGTACTTTATATATTCACTTGTGTTTTTTGAGAAATCGGGGATCGCGTAATTTACTACTTCCAGTAAACGGAAATTACTCAAAATTTGAAACAAAGCAGAGAATTAGATCATTACTTACATGTGAAATTTCATATAGCTATTTGAAACAGTAATCAAGTTATAGGCTTTTGAAAAATTGAAAGTAGAATAAGTTTCACTTCTTTTTACCGAAAATCGCTGAAAAGTGGATGCAGAATTACAAATTTAGTATATTAATTATGTATGAAATTTCATCAACCTAGCTGTAACGGTGCTCAAGTTATCGTGTTCACAGACACATTTTCAAACACAAACACAAACATACACACACATACACACACACAGACATACGGACAAATTTGCAAAACTATGTTTTTCCAACTCAGGAAACAATAATACATCCTCCATACTTCCTATACGAGAAAGTAAAAATATGATCAAAGTATTTAAACCGTAAAAAGAAAGCACCTACATAAAACTCAAATATAAAACTGCACATTCTTAAAACTGTTGTATTGATCGGTGTTCTGAAACAGACGAACAATCTATCAACTTTACAAAACACGAACTAGACCCACACAAAACAGCTGAGATATACATACAAATTAACAAGCAACATAAGAGAAATCTTATAATTGTGTGTTGAGAATTGAGTACACCTCGATAAGGAAGACATTACTTTGGTTGACAGAAAACATTGATTTGAAAAGTGGCGAGGAAGATGAAGAGTGCACATCAATCCTACGGGCGACTGAGATAGCTGACACCCATTGGAGAGATAAAAATTTATTGCAGCCCAACGCGCTGAAGAACCTTGAAAGAAAACAATAAATGACACTACACTTGCCCCCTTGCAACGACGAACCACACAGTAAGTGTGTGGTGTTCTGCTCAGAGGTGTAGCGACCCCTCCAAGCGCCCGTGGAGAGCTTACAATTTGGCGCGACCCCCCTCATAAATATACATACATTATATATATATATATATATATATATATATACATATATATATATATATATATATATATATATATATATATATATATATATATATATATATATATATATATATATATATATATATGTTTATTTATTTATTTATATACGAGAAAAATGGCCCGTTGAGGAAGGATACAACGGGCGCTAGGTTGATAGTGACGTCTATTTTCTCTAAACAAAAACCAAAACCAAAATCACCACCTATCCATAAATGATTTCACGTTTGTTTGAAGACTTTTATCTTTCCCTTCCCGCTGTCACACGTCACAAAAAGTCAGACCCCACTTTTAAAAAGACGTCACAACTCAGGCAACATTATGTCTTTTAAAAACACCGATTACGGCTGAGCATGTGTTTGACCACACTATCCTTAAATTTTGCCGAGGACACAGAAACAATTGAACTCTACTTCACCTGCCCCGTGTTCCGCATTCACATTTTTAAAAAAAATCAATAGGCGCTATTATTTCAAATTAAATTATATCCAAATTGGTCAAAACCTTAATCAAACAAGCAAAGGTTTATTTAAATAATTAAGGCCTAAAATAGTTTAGTATTGAAAGTCATTATTGGCATAGATTCTAGATCTAGATAGAGCTAGAATCTAGATGAATTCCTTTTATTCTCAAATTAAATGTTCTGTGACTGAATCTAAAATGCAAAGAGTTACATCAAATATTTAAGGACTAAAAAAGTATAATAATTATTCGTTTGTGTATTTATAATTGTTTTTATTTATATCTAACTAATTTTGGTTTGACTTAGATTCCAGATCTAGATCTATTTTGTGCGTTCCCTTCTTCCGACATTACCCCCCCCCCCCCCCCTTTGCTAGTTACGTCTCTGATCAGCAGTCTCAGTACAATATACAAAAGCCAATTATCAATACCAAATTTCAATAATAAGTAACGACTTCTATCGTAATTCTACCACTTCGTGATTTGTTCTCTAATGTGTCAACAGCGTGTTTTTGAACGTCATCAGGTATCTACAAAGTAAACAAATGACATTGATAACTCTATAAAAAAAGGGAAAAAAGTTGGTACCTGTTTGCTTTAGAATACAGATTGTTTTTCTTTTTTCTTCATATCACTACTGTTTGATAAGTTGTTGCGCATACTTATTGTCACAAAGGGGAAGACATTATTAGATAAAAAAATGTTATAACTACTTATGAGTGAGCGATAGTTTAAGGGGGAAGGCTCCGGTAAAAAAAACTTTTTTAATACTCGTTAGAAAACAGTTATTTCTATACAGCTTTATTAAGATACATCCGCAAATGCATTTCCACTAAAAAAATTGGTGAAAAAATCTTGGTAACTATGACAACAGCGGCCATCTTGAAAAATTAACCCCTTCGTAGGTTTTCCACCATTCATAAAATATTACATTTTAAGCCCAATAAACAATCAATTCATAATCTTCTTCCATATTTTGGGGTAATCAGCTAAAAATTTTAAGTGCATATCTTCAAACTAATTTTTTATGAATTTTCAAAATTTGTGTCCGTTCAAAACACTAGTTTTAATGCCCCAAAATTCCCCAAAGTTAAGTGTTGAACTTCTTAGTGCACTGGATCAAGACTGAAACTTATTATGAATAACGCTATCTACCTTTGTTTTAAGTTATAGAGGTTTTGAACTATTTTTATGTTCACACTTCTCCCATGGATACTAAACCTACTACACCAGATTTAATACAATCTTTTTTATAAAGAAAAAAATAATTATTAAAAATGGATTAAAGAAACGATCGAATAATTTCTTTTTAATTTCAAAAGTGGTTTCTGGCCTTAAATTCTAAAACATACATAATATAAAACACAATTAGATAAAAAAAATAAAAGATGTTTAACTTTGTGTTGAGTTAAAATAGTTTGGCCTCTTCGACCCACGGTAAACAACGACAAATTGATGACGATCAGGGGCAAGCACTCGATAAAAATCAGGACCAAATAATTTCGCAGTTATCATCCCTATTGCTGTATGTAGTCAAGTCTTAATACCGTTTGTACAAGTCGCCCTATGTATTTTTCATAGTGCAATCCTAATATATAAAAGGCCATGTGCGCTCTTCTCTCTCTCTCTCTCTCTCTCTCTGTCTGTCCGCAAAATATTTTCGCCGGACATCACGTCAGAATCGGCAGCGATATATGGATACCTTTATACGGACTTTTGTTGAAAATAATATGTTAGATGTTTTAAAAGTGTAACCACATTTTTATTTAAAGAAGAAAAATAAAAAATAAAGGCGTATTCGAATGTAGAGAAACAATATTATTTATGCAACCGGAAAAGTGTCTAAACTTGGGAAAAGAACGCATTTAACAATGACGTCGCTTATTGTTTACACTAAAAAAAGAGCACGAAACTGATGACGTCATATTCCGAGTTTAGAATAAAAAGAAATGAACTATTTCATTAAAATATGATTTAGAGCTATGTACGCTATGAAATGTATACAATACGATTTTCTCAGCCTAAACTTAAAAAAATTATTTTATCTATTTGGATTCTAGATCTAGATATTCTAGATCATCTAGATCTAGAGATTCTAGATCATATAGATCTAGAGATTCTAGATCTAGATGATTTATAAAGCTAAGTTGTCGGGTGCCCGATAGGGCACTTCCCGGCGCCGCAGGCGCTTCAAATTTGGCAGGATCTTGCCTTGGGGCGACAGAACACGGGGGCCGGTTGGCCGAAAAGTCTACGATGAGTGGGTCAAAACTGACCTCGACTGACCGGCGCCTTATATGGGCGAATTAATTAAGCATTCAAATTCTCAATGTTTTCGAAAGCCTAAGCGAAGCTGGGCAGCATGCCTAGTAAATAATAAACTTAAATAATGTCATACGTTGATGTCGTCGTGCTTTGGGGTGAACTACTAAGTGGCTAGACATGAGATAATGGTAGTATAGACCCTCTCACTTCATAGCTATGGGACACATTACAGGTCAATTACAGGAATTGTTGCTCGGAGTTTTTGGTGAGTTTGCTTGGACACTGGTCACTTACAGGAATTGTAGCTCGGAGTTTTTGGTGAGTTTACTAGGACATTGGTCACGTACAGTTTTTGGTGAGTTTACTAGGACATTGGTCACTTACAGGAATCGTAGCTCGGAGTTTTTGGTGAGTTTACTAGGACACTGGTCACTTACAGGAATTGTTTGACTGCTAAAGAAATGTATATTTGTAACACTATTCCTCTAGATTAAATGGCGATTCGGTGGGTAAAATATTACTTTATTTTACAAGCCTAAATGGAGAGATGTGTTTGAGGGTTAATTGTTTTTAGATTTTTTATTGCATATTGGAAAATATGGGCATTTATGAACATCCGGGGCATTTTGAGAGAATCTGTAGTTTTAAGAATCTTGGGCATTTTGTGTTTCTGCGGCATTTTAGACAACGCCTACTCCTGTCAGGCAATGGTGACCACGCCTACTGCTGACAAACAGATGATGACCCCGCCTACTCCTGTTATTAGTTATTTGACAACGATCACGCCTACATCACTCAGCCAGCTGATTTCAAGGCCAACTCCTGTAAGCAGCCCAATGACTACGCTTACGCATCTTTGCCAATTTATGTAAATAGGTTGATAACCACGCCTACCACTTTTAACCAGCCTACCATTGTAATTGTAACTCGCATACCTTAAAGCAATCTGATGACCACGCCTACCCATCATAGCCTGTTGATGATCCGCCTACTAATGCAAATCAGTTGATGACCACACCTACTCATGTCAATAATCTGATGACCACGCTTTATTCTATAAGTCTATTTAAGACAATAATTACGACTACTCTTACCAGTCAGTTAATGGCAACGCCTACTCCTATAAACCAGCATATAACCACTCCTCATTCTAGTTTATGACTTGAATCAAATACATTGAGCACGTCAAATGACACTCAACAAACGACAACATCAACAGCACCAAACAGCGTTTTAGAAACAGATTTGCCTGCAGCAGACAGCAAGCTTTTCGCTGCCGTCAACTCAGAAATAAAACAATGTAGTTGTAAATGCACAAATAAACAGACAACTCCCAATATTTCATTGAATGTACCTCATTTCACTCCCCCTTGGTCACGTCACCCTCGTAAAATAACATCACTTTTCTGATTGCCTCTCCCTTACATTTAAAATGTTTGATTCTTGCCATAGGAATCTTTAGTTTTTCTATTTATTAAGAGCTAGGTCGATATTTATTTTATTTTTCAAAAACGACTAGTAGCTATGGATAAAACAAGAATAAACTCCTTTGTATATAATACATAGTTTAATAGTAGTCCAAATAAGCATGTATCCTTGATTTTGATAAGTTCAATTGAAACAGGAGAGCACTAAAAATATTTTAATAAAAGTTGCCGAAGTCTAAGAACATGCATACACATAATAAACAAACAGATATTACAAATGAGGTGTTCAATTTTTGGTTGAGTCAAAATAGTTTGGCTTTTTAGAACCACGACGAACAGCTACAAGTTGATTAATATCAGGGGCAAGCACTCGGTATAAATCAGGTCCAAATATTTTCGCAGTTATCATCGCCATAGCTGACTGTTCGAATCTGCAAAAACAAGATTTAAAACAGACGGGTACGCTAATATATATATATATATATATATATATATATATATATATATATATATATATATATATATATATATATATATATATCACATATATATTAATGCTGTCATTTAAACTTTTAGGCCAGCAACGATGACGTCAACTGACCTATGACATCTATGATCCTTGAACTCGCCGGCACACATCCTGACCTTTTCAGGTGGGATGACAGGACATACACACTGTGGCTCAAGAGCGCACCTGGCCCATGGCTCTAGAATTGCCCGGATGTTAAATTTATCCTTCCTGTACACGGAGAGGCCTGCAAGGATCTGAGGGAATATGTTGAAGGCACAAGGCTCCTCTCCAAAGTAGTTGAAAGTCTGATCATAAAAAGGCATTGTTAATATACTAGTTATAGTCGAACAAAGTTCATAAAGTTAATCTCGCACTAATTTAAAACTCGTCATCACCTTATCAATATAGTTCAACAGTAAGTTCACTTAGCTCTGAGGGGGTAATAAAGCTCACGTTAGGAAAAGTAAAGGTGGCTGGGCATATTGCTGACCACACTATCCCTTCATATGCCAAGGTTACAGAAACAGGTGACCTCTTCTTCTTTTGCCCCAGGTACCGTCAGGTTTGAAAAAGGAACTTTACTTTTACCTGTCTCCTACACCAAAGTGGTTAAAAACCTGATCATAGTTATTACTATGGGGTGTCGCACTTTCCCCCCCCCCCGCCGCATTCACTCCACTCCCATCCCCAACCCCCTCTTTAGTGCTGCCCTAAACGTACGTAGTTCAATTGGTGGAAAATACACCAAACTTCAGTATACAACTGTGAAGTCATAAACAGTAATGCAACTTTCATTAAACATTTATTGTAACAAAAATTGGGATGAGGGTGAGGAGTAGGAACAGGCTTAGGGGAGTCGCATACCCAGCTCACCGGTATCAGAGTGTGCAGGGGTATCCTGGCCAGATTATCATACCGGAAGATTTGGACGCCAATGTCCCACCCCCTGTCCAGCACCTGCTTGATCCGGTCTGTCCATCTGATGGAGGCGTCTTGATAAACCAGAAGTCTCCTAGCTTTTTCGAAAGCAGCCTGCGAAGTGTGGACACATGAATAAAACCGTGGATTCAAAATAACTAAAAGTAATTTACTGGAAGGGTGTTGCTCTTTACTAAGGGTCGGCGTGGTCGAGTCGGTAAAGCTCATGGTTGCTAAACCGAAAAGTCTCGAGTTCGAACCCTCGGGCAGATGAGGCTCGTTAGCTGGGGAAAGCCACTCTTCTAGGAGAGACAACTCCAAAATTAAACAACTGCTGCCTTGTAGTTTGTTCTTGGTTGGACAAAGGCTATGGAAGCAAATCCAAAAAGAAAAGCAGGCTAAAATCGGAGTCAATGGCCTCAATGGCGCATAACCAGTGGACACGTATCCTTAATTGTGATGGAGGCGTGGTCGAGTCGGCTAAAGCTAATGGTTGATAAATTCGAAAACGTTACGAGTTCAAAACCCTCTGGCAGATAAGTCTCGATCCCTTCCAACACTAAAAATTAAGAACGAAGAAGAAGAAGAACTCTTTACTAATGTAGACGCAGGTTCTAAAAATGTATCATTCATATCTACGTATACCGTTAAGTGGAAGCAAACATGTTCAATATCCACTTTGCATGAGTCAGCAGAAAAATAATTATTTAGAAAATGTCTACTTTTTACTTTCTCGTTTACAGAGTATAAAGGAAGTACAGTAATCGTAAACAAAAATCAAGTGAAATTTTGACAGTTTTCATCGTTTTACACAACAGTACTTCATCATATACGGAGTATAGGGGACTTATTTTAATCGGGCTAAAATCTAAATCCAGGTTTATCAAAATCTTGGAGTTTTACGCGTCAATCAGTCGGGAAAACTGAACTTTGCTATTTTGTCTGTATGTCTGTGTGTGTGTGTGGATGTGTGTATGTGAACACGATAACTTGAGTACTCTATAGCTAGATGAATAAAATTTCATATAAGTATTACATCCAATTTGTAGTTATGTGTCAACTTTTCAGCGATTTCACGGAAACAGAAGTGGAACTTATTCTTTTTTTGGTGATCAAAAGCCTGTACCTTGAGTATTGTTTCAGATAGACAGACGAAATTTCACACATACGTATAAAAGATCTAATTCTATGCATACATTAAAATTTTGAGTAATTAGTAGTACTTTATGATATTTCCGATTTCTCGTAAAATACAGATGAATTTATAAAGTACTAATATTCCCCACTATCATACACACTTTCTCCACTATCTTACGTGTTGCATTCATTATTTGGTGAAGGTCTGAACTCTTCATTTTATCGAATATGTGATGCCTATTGCAAACAACATTTGCTTCTTTAGATTTTCCTCTGTCCGTCTATATTTTTCGATGGTTGTATCTAGTTTTCCATATGGCTTATTTGATGGGGCTTATCTGGTCCTAAAACTTTTAGAATCGTGCGTCTGAGTCAATAAATACGCGTTTACACTTTCAGGGGATGGTTGCAGATAGTTGGACTTCAAAATTGGTAGTGGGGGTAGGACCTTTCGATACTAGTCTTGTGACTACTTTACGATCTTGAGCTTCAATCACTTGGTTTGAAGCTTTGAGCTCTACCTCTCTATCACTCGACCACCACCATCATCTTTTCTCGTTCGTGCCCAGGACACATGGAGCAGATGAAGTAGAGTTAATCTGCTTCAGATATCTCGGTATATAAAGGGATAGTCAGAATTATCCCCAGCCGCCTTTATTTTCCTCATGTGAGTTAGGTACCCATCTGAGCTGGTTGGACTCAGGCACATTCCAATTACTGGATCTCGGATTCGAAATCGAGACTTTCGGGTTAGCAGTCAAGCTCTTTATCGATAGGCCAAGCCGTCCCTTTACCATACGTAGGGCCTATACACCCAAAGAAAACGTAATGTCCTCTAATGACTAAACTTGTTAACGATATTGTAAACAGTAACTTACTCTTATCAGCAGAGGTTTCCAAGCATAGCAATGTAATTCTCTGACGTGGGCTGGAAATTTTTCGTAGGGAAATGTCACAACTTGACACCGGCAGTGTTTTTCTGTCTATGTTAAAAGAACCAAAATGTAAATACATTACAGAAATAAACCGGGAGTGATCTCCCCTAAACTTTCTCGAATATTCTTATATAACATGGAATATAGACATGATTTTTAATTACTTAAACTTTTAAAAATAGAATAGAATCTCATAGAAAAAAGAATTGCGCACCAAGCGAACGCCAAAACAAAATATGCACAATATTATAAGTACTTTATAAATTTACATGCGTTTTTTGAGAAATCGGAAATAGCGTAAATTAGTACTTCCATTCAACGGAAATTTCTCAAAATTTAACAGAACGTAGAGAATGAGATCTTTTACTAACATGTGAAATTTCATTTATCTATCTGAAATAGTACTCAAGTTATAGGCTTTTGAAAAATTCAAAGTAGAAAAAGTACCACTTCTGGTTATGGGAATCGTTCAAAAGTTGATACGGATCTACGATTTTGATAAAATACTTTATGAAATTTCATTAACCTAGCTGTAACGGTACTCAAGTTATCGTGTTTACACACGGACAGACAGACAGACAGACAGACACACAGACATACGGACAAAATTGCAAAATTATGTTTATTATGTTTTTCCGTATCAGTGAGGTGAAAAACGTCGAGATTTGTATAAATCTCGATTTTTTTTTTGCACGATTACAAGTATTTCTCTATACTTCGTATATACGAAAAAGTAAAAATGCGCAATTGGAAAAATGTGTAAACAGAAAATTGCGCAAGCTGAAAATTGCGCAAATACAAACTATTTATAATAATGCGCTTTACTTTTGTCCTATTTCGTGGAAATATGTTCTATTATGCTGCAATATGCATGTGGAACAATATTTTTTGTTATCTATTAAAGCTCGGTTTAAAAAAATAACAATACCTCTAAAGAAAAGCGTGGGTATCTTCCTAAATATTAGTAAAGATATCCAATAGGTAATAAAATGTCCCACGCTTTTCTTTATAGTTATTTAAATAGCTGTATTGGTATAGATTTAAAGAAAAAAAAAATTTCTTCTTTTTATTGCATTATTGCATAAAAGCTTGTTATTAAAACGTTTTTGCAAGCTTTTATGACAAGCTTTTATTCAATTACATAAAATCTTTTTATTAAAACGTTTTTTATGAATTTTTAACTTGCTTTCTTTGTCGTCAGTCTGTCGACAGTCTCTCGCCAGTCTAGATCGAAACGCCTGAGCGAAAAATTCGGGCACTTCTAATTGACGGATACAGTTCAAATCTGGAACGTGGGTCAAGACAATGCAATCTGACATTAAATTTAACTTAATTGGATGCCTAATTAATTTTTATGATTTAATAAAATTTGTGTCCACGTTCGTTAGGTGCGCAATGGTTTTTAGTCATGCAACTCAAATGTAAATTTGAAATAAACCGGGAATGATATCACCTAACCTTTCTCAAATATTCTTATATAATACTACGTGGGATGGCGACTCGGGTTATAGACATGATTTTTAATTACCTAAACTTTTTAAAATAGAATAGAATCTCGTAAAAAAAGAATTGCACACAAAGTAAACGCAAAACAAAATGTGTATAATAGTGTGGAATATTATATAGTAATTTATACATTCACATGCATTTTTTAAATTACTACTTTTGGTCAAACGGAAATTACTCAAAATTTGAACGATGGCAGAAAAGTAGATATTTTACTTATATGTGAAATATCGTTTATCTTTCTGAAACAGTACTCAAGTTATAGGCTTTTGAACAATTAAAATCGAAACAAGAATGCACGAAAATTAAAAGTTCCAATTACTGTTACTGGAAATCGCTGAAAAGTTGATACAGAACTAGAAATTTGATATAATACTTATAAATAAAATTGTATCAACCTAGCTGAAACGGTACTCAAGTTATATTGTTTACAGACACACATTAACACACATACACACACTGACGTACGGACAAAATCGCTAAACTATGTTTTTGCGACTTCAGGAGGTATAAAACGTCAAGATTTGTACAAATCTCAATTTATTTATTTTTGCATGATTACAATACTTTCTATATATTTCGTATACAAAGAGTAAAAATTGAAGTACTGAAAACAAATCTTTAAAAAACGTTTTAATAACAAGCGTTTATGTAATAATGCACTAAAAAGTAGAAAATAAACTATACACTACTATTTTAATAACTCTAAAGAAAAGCGTAGGCCTCTTCCTAAATATTGGTAAAGGTATTTAATAGATGCTAAAGTTATTTTTTTTTCTTCTAACTTTTGAATCTACTTTCCTTAGTTTTCAATCTCGTAAATACAGCTGGTTTACGTAATGTTTACTCATCCATTCGGATGTTTTTATAATTAGTATATCATTAAGTAATTTTTGTATTAAAAGCCCCATCGACTCACTATGATCCTCTGCTCCTCTGTTAAACCAATGTCGAAGAGAACAACGGTGAAATTGTTGACACGAGGATACACCGTCTGGTGCAGGCTATAGAACATGTCCTGCATCTCGTCGTAGTGATTGGAGGAGCTGGCGGACACGAAGATGACGTCACTCTCAGGGATGGCCTGGCCCATGGAGAGGATCAGACGACGCTGGTGTTGGGAGAGCGTCAGGTTTGGTGACGTCAGAATGTCCAGCAACCGGGTCTCGGAGTCAGGGTTCAAAGGTCGTGAACAGTTAGATATACAAGCACCTGTTGATTGCATTTTACACATACTGGTTTCATACCTAACTTAACCAAACCAAATTTTTATCTTTTTGTACGGTTAACTTCAAGCCCTAAATGTGATTGGACTTAGTTTTTACTTTCTCGTATATACGAAGTATAGAGAAAGTCTTGTAATCGTGCAAAAAAAAATCGAGATTTTTACAAATCTCGACGTTTTACACCTCACTGATACGGAAAAACATAACTTTGCAATCTTGTCCGTATGTCTGTGTGTCTGTCTGTCTGTCTGTCTGTCTGTCCGTGTGTAAACACGATAACTTGAGTACCGTTAAAGCTAGGTTGATGAAATTTCATATATAAGTATTTTATCAAAATCGTAGATCCGTATCGACTTTTGAGCGATTTCCGATAACCGGAAGTGGTACTTTTCCTACTTTGAATTTTTCAAAAGCCTATAACTTGAGTACTATTTCAGATAGATAAATGAAATTTCACATGTAAGTAAAAGATCTAATTTTCTACCTTCTGTTAAATTTTGAGTAATTTCCGTTGACTGGAAGTAGTAATAAACGCTACTTCCGATTTCTCAAAAAACTAATGTAAATTTTAAAAGTACTAATAATATTGCGCACTATTATGTGCTTTTTTATTTGGCGTTCACTTGGTGTGCAATTAATTTGTCTACGAGATTTTATTCTATTTTTAAAACTTTAAGTATTTAAAATGGATTAAAAATCATGTCTATAGCCCGAGTTCCCATCCCCTGTTATTTTATATAAGAATATTCGAGAAAGTTTAGGGGAGATCACTCCAGGTTTATTGTGGTTTGTTTTCTCATAATGGATATACCTTGCAATGAAATTACTAAATTTGAAAACATATTAATTTAAAATTTAGTAAGACTAAATCTAATATATATATATATATATATATATATATATATATATATATATATATATATATATATATATATATATATATATATATATATATATACATATATATATATATATGGAGAGAGAGAGAGAGAAAGAGAAAGAGAGAGAAAAAAGATAATGTAGTCCCAAAAAAAATTTGACGCGGAGCCTTTTTTCTAGATCAGACACTATACAGGCCTACATCAAATCAAAAAACCTCATTTTGTGAGTAAGGATAGAATAAATGACTTTATACCTCGTGATTTGTTACTGCATGTGGTAGAGAATAAGATCCGAGGCGCGTCTGTGTCCTTCGAGATAATTTCATGAAGTCGTGCGATCGAATCCCTGATGGTCACATCATACAGCACGGAGTTGACCACTGGTACGTAAAAATAGACAGTTTGAATGCGTTTTTATCGTCGTAATTGCAGAACGCACTTTGTGTTACTCTTGAAATAAATTGGGGGTTAGGTGTTCACTTCACCCCTACCCGATGGATTAAAGTGTTTCCATGGAGAGGGGCTTATGAACAAGTGACAGCACTTGTAACCATTTTACCTAACTAAGACCAGAATAGTTTTATTTTAAAATACCTCTCTCTCTCTCTCTCCTTCTCCCTCTCTCTCTTTCTCTTACTTTATATACATTTTTATTTACGATTAACAAACGTGATGTTATATATATATGTATATATATATATATTTATATATATATATATATATATATATATATATATATATATATATATATATATATATATATATATATATATATATATAACATCACGTTTGTTAATCGTAAATATAAACTTCATGATGTTGTAGTTACCTTTTGAAGAAATCAAGTAGCTCTTGTGCATGAGTGAGTGGAATTTGTACAGCAGAATGACAGTAAAAATTAGACAAGTACCTACAATTGCACTGACGGCTGAATGTTACCGAAAAGAAGAAAAAATAAACCATTAAACAATAATTTTGCTTTATATATGTAATTCGTAATTTTTAGAAAAAGTTTTTAGTAAAATGATATTTCATGTAAGAAACGTTTTTCATTATCAATACAACTTACTTTTCTTGGAAAATAAATTATTCTTCATGTTTGAGAAAAGAGCAGAAGTTCCGATCCTTAATACACCCATAAAAAATTAGATTCCTTGTAATATATTTTAAATTAAACACACCCACAAACGTAGCTTTAACATTTATTTTATTTAAAAAATGCGTTCCCCTTTGTTTAATGGTTTAAATATGCACAACAACTTATCAAACAGTGGCGATATGAAGGAATAAAGGAAAAAAAAATCTGTATTCTAAAACAAACAGGTACTAATTTTTTCTCATTTATTCATAGGGTTATCAATGTCATTTTTTTACTTTGTAGATACCTGATGACGTTAAAGAAAGCGCTGTTGACACATTAAAGAACAAATCACGACTTCAGAGAATTACGATGAAGGTCATTACTTGTTATTGACTTTTAGTATTGATGTTTTGCTTTTGTATAATTAAGTATAGATACTGCTGATCAGAGGCGTTGCTAGGAGGGGGGCTGTTGGAGAAAGGGAAAGTACAAAGTAGATCTAGATCTAGAATCTAGGTCAAATCAAAATTGATTAGTTAAAAATAAAAACAATTATAAAAACACAAACAAATAATTGAGTTTCTTTATTAAACTACTTTAGTCCTTAAATATTTGACATAAATCTTTGCTTTTAATTTTCACACTCACACATCATCTAATTCGAGAATAAAAGGAATTCATCTATATTCTAGATCTAGCTCTATCTAGATATAGAATCTATGCCAATAATGAGTTTCAATACTAAACTATTTCAAACCTTAATTATTTTATATAAATCTTTGATTGTTTAGTTATGGCTAATTTGGGATATAATATAAATTGAAATAATAGGGCCTATTCGCGTAATCGGAAGTGCCAAGCTAGATGTGATGATAGTGTAATAGCTACCATGCGGGTGGTTCGGGGTTCGAGGCGCATCATGTAAATGTAAAAAAAATCTTTTTTTTTTAGGTGTGAATGATAAAGTTGCCTATCTGGACTTGGCGGGACACGAGGCAGGTGAAGTAGAGTTCACTTGTTTCTATGTACTCGGCATAATTAAAGGATAGTGTTGTCAGACCTATGCTCAGTCGAAATCGGTGTTTTAAAAGACATTATAATTTTGCCTGAGGTGTGACGTCTTTTTAAATGTGGGGTCTGGTTTCTTGTGAGGATGTGTGACAGTGGGAAGTTAAAAAATAACGAGTAGTCTAGTTTGTTCTGAATTTGTTGTTGACTATGTGGTTGAAGACAGAAGACATCTGTGAAATCCAAGACTTCGCAATTGTTGTCTCCGTTGCAGTGTTTCTTCCAGATTTTTTTCTCCGGGGGCACTTAAAATTTTCGGGGGGGGGGGGCGGTAGACTTCCTTCGGGGGGTCGGACACTGTTAAAAGTATACATTTTCTATATAAATTATATAAATTTCATTTCGTTCGGGGGGGGGGGCGGTAGAAATTCTTCGGGGGGGCTTCACCCCCCCCCCCCCCCGAAGAGATGCCTGGAAGAAACTCTGGTCCGTTGGATTCCAGCTTGTTTCCTCTAGCTTGTTTTATTATAAAATCAACCAGTCGACGAAATACCCATTTCGTATTCTAATGTGCACAATACATGTTTCTGATTATTTGCTATTGTGTATCCTTTGTGTGACTTTATTCTGACAACCTTATAATCCAACTTTGTAACATAAGATAACATTACATAACAGAGAATGTTCCAAACACAGAACATAAAAGACTGGCGTAAACATTATAGCGCCTGCTACAAACTACATTTTATATATAAAAATGATTTACGCATCTTAAGGATAATTAAATTTGCGTCAACTACAGTTTTAGGAAACGAAAATCATACACAGTAATTACTAAAATTAATAAAAAAAAAACATCCACCCGTAAGTATTTGGTTGTTGGTTTTGAAATGTAATTGTGTAAAGGGACATTCAGCCACACAGGTCAGAAAGGGGGATGAGAGGATGAGGGTGGTAATCGATTGTTTTTATCCCAGGAGATCAATAACTGGCCTAATATAGAGGTCAAATTTTTTGTGTGATTCGTCATAGGAAGGGGATGAGAGTAGTGTCATTCATTGTTTTCTTTCAAAGGTCTTCATCGCGTTGGGCTGCAATAAATTTGTCTCTCTGCAATGTGTGTCAGCTATCTCAGTCGATAGGATTGATGTGCACTCTTCAGCTTCCTCGCCGCTTTTCAGATCAATGTTTTCTGTCATCTTATTGAGGTGTCCTCCAATCTCAACACACAATTATAAGATTTCTCTTATGTTGCATGTTAATTTGTGGGTATATCTCAGCTGTTTTGTGTGTGTGTCAAGTTTGTGTTTTGGAAAGTTGATAGTTTGTTAGCCTATTTAAGAACACCGGTCGATATAACAGCTTTAAGAGAGTGCAGCTCTTACATATTTTGATTTTTATGTAGGTGCTTTCTTATTCCGGTTTAAATACCATGTTCAAATTTTTTTTTAATTATGCTCTTTCCATAGTACTGTAAATACAATTATAACAATTAAACATTTCATGTAATTCTAATTTTAAAGATTAACATGGTCGTATCATCAACGTTCCTATTTTTCTTACAGTGCGACAATACATTGTGTTTTCACCACGCATAATTTCTATTGAATATTTAATTTTTACTGGCCAATGACTTACCCCCCCCCCCCCACCCGCGCGGTCAATAACATCCCTCCCCCACACACACCGACATTTCCCCTCCAACATTACCCCAACCCTAAATACAAACCCCAACAACTAACCTAAACACAACAAAATCCTAACCCCAACTAACCTACAACTAACCCTAAATCTATCCCTAACCCTACGCCTAACCATAGCTTTAACACTAACCCTTATCGAACTCTTCACATATTATCCCTAAATTATCCCTAGCTGGGCGGGTGTAATTGACGAGGGAGGAAGAATAAGTGCTCCTTGTGTAATGTCGAGGGAATGTCCGGGCGTAATATAGAGAAGGGGGGGGGGGGGGGTGGGAATGTCCTGCTCAAGTTTTCCACACTTCAAATTTTACTAATAAGAAAAATACGATTCGCCCAAATTGGAAGGACAGAAGTGAAAGAAAAAATTGGCTAGTCCTTCTTCCCCCCCCCCCCCCCCCCCTCAGCTCACCCCAAAGAAAAAAATTAATTGATCAAAAACGTAATTTTTACATTGTATCTTCATCTTCATTATAAAAGCCAACTCCCTATAATCACGGTTTTAATGTGTAATTATTAAAACGAACACAGTAGATAAATTTATAAAACGGTATTAATTACCAGCACAAATTATTTTTAACCGCTTCTTTTCTAGTGTCAGTTTACTACTTTTTGTCCGCACATAGATTTCGCCAAGAATTATTTCAACGATTTTTTTCCCGCGATTGTTTATCAATCAACTTAGGCGAAATGTGGAAGGTGTTAACTGTACATCGGCACGAATAGCCCCCAATGACCGTAATAAAAGTATTCGATTTTTTTTCAAGTTTAAAAACCATTTCCGCATGTCGTTGAGTGTGGAAATATTGTTAGGCGACACTCAACGACATTATGAGGCAGGATGCGTAGTTAAAGATTTATTCAGATGAGCAGATCAATATGGTAGATGGCGTTGATGTACAATTGTTTGATACAGGTTTGTGGATTGTGTCATACGCTGATTTCTTTACTGTCGTCTGCGTGAAACATTGCTATAACATTATCCGACACTTGCATTCAGAGTTTCTTTCGAACTTTTTCCTCCGGGGGGGGGGGGGGGGCCGGACTAAATTTTCCGGGGTCGGGGGTGAACCCTGCTAAAAGTATATATTTTCTATATAAATTCCATTTCTTTCGAGGGAGGAGGATAGACTTTTTTCGGGGTGGGGGGGGGGGGGAGGCGGAGCACTCCTCGAAGATGTTTAGTGGTACTTGGATATACGAGTGTTCTATCTGGGTAGGTTTTTAGCGCAATTTCCATTCTGGAGAATTGCGTTTATTAACCCGTCATTTCTGGATGTATGAATGTATGAATGGATGGATGGATGGATGTGTGTCCGCAGCTTTAAGTCGTATCTCCTCCTCAACGAAGCAATATCGATGACTAGCTCCAAAAGCAATTATGTTAAGCAAGTTACGAGGATGAACATAGGCCATAAAAATTCCGGGTTTCTTTCATGGCTTTCCCGGAAAAGCCAATAAACCTCGAAAAAAAAAGCAGTTTTTGGCCCATATCTCGGCAACCAGACCACTTAGCGACTTGAAACATGTACCAATCGATTTCTGCCATAATTTAGAACAATATTGCCGAAGAAAGTTTTCAAAAATATCCTTTCGTTCGGTCACAAAATTATTTTTGAATTAATTAAAATTTGGACCGAATTAGTAGGCATTTTTTCCAACCACACCACACGCGTCATCACGTTCAATAGCTGCGCCATCACGTTCAATGGCTGCGTCATCACGTTCAGTAGCTAGGCGCGCAATGGTTTTTAGTCATGTAACTCTATTGTAAATAAAACATGTAAAATACTGAAAAAAAATTAATAAAAAACGTTTTAATAACTAACCAATGGTTTTACTAACCCTGCTTTTGATTTACGCTACGACAGAGCTATTTTTAGATAACATAAGGAAATTGCGCTTAAATGTCACTAGACTTTTTAATTAACTTGTTTATATACGACTAGTCGGGCGAGCGATATTTTAACTTTGAAATGCAAGAAAAAGTTAGATGCATGTACAGACATGCAAAGGAAAGTGAAGAAAGCGTGACGGCAAAGACCGGTGTTGAAGTAATAGGCGAAAATAACAAACTATACATTAGTATATAAGTTTTTCTTCTTGGTTCTTAATGTTGAAGTAATAGGCGAAAATAACAAACTATACATTAGTATATAAGTTTTTCTTCTTGGTTCTTAATTGGAATATGAAAGGAAATAGCCACCAACACAATTAAAACAACTGTCAATAGGAAAAATTCCTTTGCGTTTGGTGTTTTCTCTCCTAGATGGGTTGCTGTCCCCAGATTTCTAGCCTCAACTACATGGGGGGGGGGGTCTGAACTCTGAGACCCAAGATTCTGTTTAAATAAGGCCATTTTTATTTTATTAATTAAGCTTAATCGGTTGTTTCATTTGTTAATTTTAAAACGGTCAATGTGAAAAAAGGCCTAAATGCCTACAATTGCTACTGTTATTGAATAAATTGAAATTGAAATTTTCTTTTTTTTTCAGAAGCGATATCTACCATGTCCAACATTGCAAGACACCATCACCATCACCACCACTACCAATACCACTATCAACACCACTGCAACCACCAACATCACTACCATCACCACCACCAACTCCACCAACACCAACGCCACCACCAACTCCACCACCACCAACTCTACCACCAACACCACCGCCACTGCCACTGCCACCTACACATACAACATAACCTCACCACTAATTCAGCCGATATAACAAACACCACAAAACAAATATAACAACACAACAAACGCACCTAAGACAACCAATAGAAATAACACACCATGTGCTTTATTTAACATCCATTTGTTACAAATCTTGTCACTTCACAGATTTAACAGTTGCTGCAATAAAAAAGTCTAACAAAAAAAATGAATATTCCAAGCTGTATTCACTGTTCAAAAAAAGTTTTCCATAGTAAAAAGCGTTGTTCGCTAGAAAAGAAAATCCCCCCTCTACCTTGTAAATATATAATTTAAACACAAATAGTGGCTTACGATAATCTGCAATGTCATATAAGAAGTGATTCATTGCTATACATTAAAATAAATTATTGGTTGGGGGGATTCTATATCAAATATTCTATAAAAGCTTGCAATTATAAAAAAAATTATTTTAGAAAATTATTACACTTTTAAAATTTGACCTGTATTAAAAAAACAAATTTTGTGTTTTTTTGAAAAAGCATGCGCTAAAAATGAACTCAAGAAACAGTGCTGCTACCACTTGATACTTAAATATAATTGTTCATTGGATCCTAACTCATCAACATGTGGGGAGGGGGGATTCTAGGCAATGAGCTGTAGACATACTACATAAATTTATAACTTAAAACTTACGCCACGTTTGATATATTGAAATAAGTAGAAGGGTAGTTTTTAGGGATTTATTTATTTATTTTAATTCGTTACCTGTCGTATACATTATTTCTAAAATATAAATTTTATAGCTTTTAACGTGACATTTATTAAAAAAAGGCTCTTCTATGTAAAATAATTTATTATTATCTATTACAGGTAACTTACAATGTTCTTTTAGACTTTATTTCACGTTTTCACTTTTTTTTTATTTTTACGAAAACTTCGAAATTAAAATCACTAGGCTCTGGAACAAGACTGAAACTATCCATACGTATGAGTTATAACGCTAACTATTCTTTTAAGTTAAAAAGGTTTTTTATGCTTACACCAAGATTAACACAATTTTAGTTCTAAAGAAAAACTATTTATAAATACAGATGCATTAAACAAACAGTCGAATAATTTCTTTTTAATTACAAAAGTGGTTTCTGGTTTTTAAGTTCTTCACCATACATAATATAAAAACACTAATAGGTATAAAATAAAAGGTGTTTAACTTTGTGTTGAGTTAAAATAGTTTGGCCTCTTCGACCCACGGTAAACACCGACAAATTGATGACGCTCAGGGGCAAGCACTCGGTATAAATCACGACCAAATATTTTCGCAGTTATCATTCCTATTGCTGACTGATCAAATCTGCAAATATGAGATTCAAAATGATAAACTAACGATATATGTATATATATATATATATATATATATATATATATATATAGTATATATATATATATATATATATATATATATAGATATAGATATAGATATAGATATAGATATAGATATAGATATAGATATAGATATAGATATAGATATAGATATAGATATAGATATAGATATAGATATAGATATAGATATAGATATAGATATAGATATAGATATAGATATAGATATAGATATAGATATAGATATAGATATAGATATAGATATAGATATAGATATAGATATAGATATAGATATAGATATAGATATAGATATAGATATAGATATAGATATAGATATAGATATAGATATAGATATAGATATAGATATAGATATAGATATAGATATAGATATAGATATAGATATAGATATAGATATAGATATAGATATAGATATAGATATAGATATAGATATAGATATAGATATAGATATAGATATAGATATAGATATAGATATAGATATAGATATAGATATAGATATAGATATAGATATAGATATAGATATAGATATAGATATAGATATAGATATAGATATAGATATAGATATAGATATAGATATAGATATAGATATAGATATAGATATAGATATAGATATAGATATAGATATAGATATAGATATAGATATAGATATAGATATAGATATAGATATAGATATAGATATAGATATAGATATAGATATAGATATAGATATAGATATAGATATAGATATAGATATAGATATAGATATAGATATAGATATAGATATAGATATAGATATAGATATAGATATAGATATAGATATAGATATAGATATAGATATAGATATAGATATAGATATAGATATAGATATAGATATAGATATAGATATAGATATAGATATAGATATAGATATAGATATAGATATAGATATAGATATAGATATAGATATAGATATAGATATAGATATAGATATAGATATAGATATAGATATAGATATAGATATAGATATAGATATAGATATAGATATAGATATAGATATAGATATAGATATAGATATAGATATAGATATAGATATAGATATAGATATAGATATAGATATAGATATAGATATAGATATAGATATAGATATAGATATAGATATAGATATAGATATAGATATAGATATAGATATAGATATAGATATAGATATAGATATAGATATAGATATAGATATAGATATAGATATAGATATAGATATAGATATAGATATAGATATAGATATAGATATAGATATAGATATAGATATAGATATAGATATAGATATAGATATAGATATAGATATAGATATAGATATAGATATAGATATAGATATAGATATAGATATAGATATAGATATAGATATAGATATAGATATAGATATAGATATAGATATAGATATAGATATAGATATAGATATAGATATAGATATAGATATAGATATAGATATAGATATAGATATAGATATAGATATAGATATAGATATAGATATAGATATAGATATAGATATAGATATAGATATAGATATAGATATAGATATAGATATAGATATAGATATAGATATAGATATAGATATAGATATAGATATAGATATAGATATAGATATAGATATAGATATAGATATAGATATAGATATAGATATAGATATAGATATAGATATAGATATAGATATAGATATAGATATAGATATAGATATAGATATAGATATAGATATAGATATAGATATAGATATAGATATAGATATAGATATAGATATAGATATAGATATAGATATAGATATAGATATAGATATAGATATAGATATAGATATAGATATAGATATAGATATAGATATAGATATAGATATAGATATAGATATAGATATAGATATAGATATAGATATAGATATAGATATAGATATAGATATAGATATAGATATAGATATAGATATAGATATAGATATAGATATAGATATAGATATAGATATAGATATAGATATAGATATAGATATAGATATAGATATAGATATAGATATAGATATAGATATAGATATAGATATAGATATAGATATAGATATAGATATAGATATAGATATAGATATAGATATAGATATAGATATAGATATAGATATAGATATAGATATAGATATAGATATAGATATAGATATAGATATAGATATAGATATAGATATAGATATAGATATAGATATAGATATAGATATAGATATAGATATAGATATAGATATAGATATAGATATAGATATAGATATAGATATAGATATAGATATAGATATAGATATAGATATAGATATAGATATAGATATAGATATAGATATAGATATAGATATAGATATAGATATAGATATAGATATAGATATAGATATAGATATAGATATAGATATAGATATAGATATAGATATAGATATAGATATAGATATAGATATAGATATAGATATAGATATAGATATAGATATAGATATAGATATAGATATAGATATAGATATAGATATAGATATAGATATAGATATAGATATAGATATAGATATAGATATAGATATAGATATAGATATAGATATAGATATAGATATAGATATAGATATAGATATAGATATAGATATAGATATAGATATAGATATAGATATAGATATAGATATAGATATAGATATAGATATAGATATAGATATAGATATAGATATAGATATAGATATAGATATAGATATAGATATAGATATAGATATAGATATAGATATAGATATAGATATAGATATAGATATAGATATAGATATAGATATAGATATAGATATAGATATAGATATAGATATAGATATAGATATCGATATAGATATATTTACTATTTGCTAATATACTGATGAAGACTAAATATGTAAATATACAAATAGTGAAATACCTCGAGCGAGAAAGAGAGTCGTGTAGATATATATATATATATATCAATATTTATTGACAGCATGTACTTCATTATTAACCAAACCCTACATCACGACTTAAAACAAGGCTTTAAATAAATGGCATTTAATTGAACATTTAAGCCGGAAACATGACGTCAACTGACCTATGACATCTGTGGTCCTTGTGCTCACCGTGACACCAGATGACCTTGAAGGGGTTGACCGGACACACGCACTCCGGCTCGATGGCACACCTGGCCCACGGTTCCAGAATAGCCCGGATGTTAAAGACGTCCTTCCTGTACATGGAGAGGCCTCCGGGTAACTCTGGGAATATGTTGAAGGCACAAGGCTCCTCACCAAAGTAGTCGAAGGTCTAATCATTAAACAAAAATCATTTTAAGAATTGTAGTATATTGATATATATTCTAAATATTTAAACTTTATATCGTTTAAGCTTACAGACGTATATAAATTTATTAAGTTATTAAATTATATTCAAAGAGCAGGGTTTTTTATATTGACGTTTTTTGTTTATATTTATCTGATGTCACCGTCTTGGAAGGCGCAACACAGAGTGTCTGTCACTCGTCGCCACTCCCCCCACCCCCTTGCGTGTCATGTGTCTAATTTGCGTCTATATATTTTTCAGAGTTCTAGCGTGTTTATAACAAAAGTATAGTTTCTTGGCATTATCTGTTCTCAACTCTGATCTGAAATCTAACCCTAACCCAATACCAAACCTTAATGTCCATCCCAGGCACTTAACCGGACCATAATCCTATCATCAAACCTTGCAGTACTACCTTCAGTAAATCAGTCCGGTATAATAGTGTGTAGTCAATATAAGTATATACAACTGTCCGGTAGAGGGCTAGGATGCTAACTCGAACGTCTCAAGTTTGAATCCGGGTCAAAGTCAGTAGAACGTCCTTGAGTCCTCCCTGCTCTCATATTAGGGAAAGTAAAGGCTGATCATAGTGCTGACCCAATATCCTTTCATATGTTGAGCTCAAGAAACATATGAACACTACTTCAACTGCCCAATTGATCGCTAGGTCTAAAGAGTACTATTTTTACAATGTAAGTGTAAGCGAGTAGCCCACCTAACCTCACCTGTATCAGGGTATGCAGGGGTATCCTAGCCATGCCATCTGACCGGAAGTATTGGATGCCAATGTCCCACGCCCTGTCCAGAACCTGTTGGATGCGGTCAGACCATCTGACGGAAGTGTCTTGGTAAACAAGAAGTTTTCTTGCCTTTTCTATAGCAGCCTGACATGAAGAGACACACATGAATACGGTAATTTATTTAGTTTTTTATTTATAGTAATACGTATTAGCACCTCTAGGAAGAAGAAAGCAAAGAAGACCAAGGGAGACGTGGAGGAAGACGCCGGGGAAGCAGCTGGCAGAGCTGACATGGGGGACTGCCGGGAAATTTGTCAGAGACCGACAGAAGTGGGGGGAGTTTTCTATAGCGGCCCCATATGTCTTGGGTTAAAAAGCAAGAAGGTAATAATGTTGATATTAGCAAAAGTTGGCTGAAAAATACAAGGATACGTATTTTACGATCTCGAATAAGCAGCATAGAAGTAAGCATTAAAATCGTGTTTTTAAAAAGTGTGAGTGTGAATGGGGGTGGGGCTGACATACATCAAAAATATCATTGGTAGAAAGACCTGTTGTTGTGACTTCATTTCAAGGACTTAAGCTTCGGTCCCTTGGTTTGTAGTCGTGATCTCTAACACTCGACCACTCTACCCCACTCACTGTACAGCCATTTACAATATAATGTTCTCTAATGTCGAGATTTACCTGAGTGACAATCTAGTATTGTAACCTACCCGTATCAGCAGAGGTTTCCAAGCGTAACAAAAATTTTCCTTGACGTGCGCTGGAAAATGTTCAAAGGGAAAAGTCACAACTTGACACCGGCAGTGTTTTTCTGTCTGGGTGAAAAAATAATCACCTGATCAACATATATAGAACAGCCGTGTGCCAATCTTTCAAAACAAAACACACGTGATCAACATAAATAGAAAAGTCGTGTGTCAATCTTACACAACAAAACACACGTGATCAACATTCATAGAATAGTCATGTATTAATCTTACCAACAAAAAAAAACCTCATGTCATCAACCGACTTAATTTGTATCAGTTTTTCAAAAACAAAAAGGTATGACATAGGGGGTGTGGTGTGGTAGTGTATATATATTTCTATATTTCTTTTTTTCTATTTGGTTAGGGAAGGGGGCGGTGGACGTGCACCTCTGTGGGATGATATACCCACTTGTTTTATTTTATATTTATATTTTCTCTGTATGAAAACTAGACGAAACTACTCTCAATACACAATTTCAGAGATGGCGAGGTCTAGCGGTAGAACGATAGACTGCTAACCCGAAAGTCTCGAGTTTGAATCTGAATTCAGGTCACCCAGCTCAAATCACATTAAAGAAAATAAATGCGGCTAGGCATTGTGCTGACCACAGTATCTTTTAAAATGCCGAAGTAATTGAAACGTCGTCTTCCCTGTGTGTCATGGCCATTAACAGGAAAAAGACTTCAGTATCTGCTTTACTCCAAGTAAATTGGTTCTATTCTATATAATAGTTTCGCTGTCTTTGTATCTATCTGTGTATCTATGTATGTATCTGACAAGAACGCTCTAGAGAAAACACAAGCAACTTAAAAAACTTTCACAGTAAGACGGAAACAAAAAATGACGTCACATTTAGCATGTAGTAAAAAATAATCTCAAGCTGGAGAGTGCACACAGTAATATTACGTCATTGACTCTCGAGTAAACATTGAATAAAAAGGCAATTTTGTCTAATCTAAATGGTTTGCGTGAAGAGTTTCTTTCATACAATTCTTCGGGTCGGGGCTAAGCCCCACCCCCGCGTAAGAGCGTTTGCCCCCCCCCCTCCCCAACTCAAAAGAAATTTCTTCATCGATACTCCATAATAAAATTACCGCCTAATTCATGTGTCTAATCTAAAAAGTGGTTTGCGTGCAGAGTTTCTTTCATTCAATTCTTCGGGTAGAGGCTAAGCGCGACACCAGTGTTTCTTTCAGACTTTTTCCTCCCCGGAGGGAGGAGCTTTTTCTAATCAAAAAATTGTTAAGCGTGCACACTTTTTTTTATGCATCTCTTCCGGTAGGGGCGAAGCCCCACCCAGGTTTTTCCTTTAGTTTGTATGATCTACAAATGCGACCAGTGTTTTTTTTCAGACTTTTTACTCCCCGGAGAGGGGTGGGGGTACTGGAAATTTTCAGGGGCGGGGGTAGAATTTTATGGGAGGGGGCGGACACTGGAAAAAGTATATAATTATATTTCGTTGAATGGGACGGTAGACATGTTTCCTCAACGGGCCATTTTTCTCGAATAATAATAGTTATCTATTTTATTGAATATCTAATGGCGTTGCGCAGTTTCTAAAACATATTTTGTCAAACTAATATTTAATGAAATGGTAAAAAACAGAGTTGTGGTGGATTTGAACCTTGACTCCTACGTACGCACAAAGCCCTATTGACTCACCATGATTCTCTGCTCCTCTGTTAAACCAATGTCGAAGAGAACAACGGTGAAATTGTTGACACGAGGATACACCGTCTTGTGCAGGCTATAGAACATGTCCTGCATCTCGTCGTAGTGATTGGAGGAGCTGGCGGACACGAAGATGACGTCACTTTCAGGGATGGCCTGGCCCATGGAGAGGATCAGACGACGCTGGTGTTCGGACAGCGTCAGGTTTGGTGACGTCAGAATGTCCAGCAAACGGGCCTCGGGGTCAGGGTCCAAAGGTCGTGTACAGTTAGATATACAAGCATCTTTGGATAGCATTATATAAACATACATACACACATACAACTTAACCAAACGCAACTTAACCAAAAACTCTACTTAACTCTACTTCACCTGCCCTTTGTCCCGCCAAGTCTCAGACATGTTTGTATTTTTAAAAAAAAAAAGATTCCGGCCGAGCAATGCTCTGATCACACTATCCCTTCATATGCTGAGAACATAGAAACAGGTGAACTCTACTTCACCTGCCCTGTATCACTCTAAGTTCTAATAGGCAAAGGCAACTTTATCATTCACAACAACAACAAAAATTAAAAAGAAAATTAAAACTGACATATCTCGAACCAGTGCCGCCCGCATGGTAACCTAATGTGCTAACCTCTTAGCAATCTAGGCTCGTGCTCTGAATAATGTAATAACTCATATATTTTACTTTTAGTCTGCGTAAGAATCTACGCGAATCGACCCTAGAATTAGATCTAGAATTATTTCAAATTAAATTTTATCTTAAATTAGCCAATTTTATATCTAAACAAACAAAGATTTAAAGTAAAATATTAAGGCCTGAAATAGTTTAGATAGAGCTAGATCTAGAATTTAAAGTCTATACTTTTGCAAAATTAGCAATTTAGAAGCCGCGTATTAATCTTAAGTTACGCAAATAGGCCCTAGATCGAGCATTTCCAAATTATCATATTCTATTGCTAAACAAAGATTTATATAAAATAATAAAGGTCTAAAATAGTTTAGTATACAGAAACTGATTATTATCTAAATCTTGATAGAATTATCTATATTCTAGTTCTACGACTGAGCTAGATCTAGAATTTACGTTTATAATTTTGCAAAATTAGCGGTATAGAAGCCGCGTATGAATCTTAAGTTACGCAAATAGGCCCTGGATCGAGCATTTCCAAATTAGCATATTCCATAGCTAAACAAAGAATTATATAAAATAATAATGGTCTAAAATAGTTTAGTATATAGAAACTCATTATTATCTAGATTTAAATCTAGATAGGGATAGAATTATCTATATTCAAGATCTATGACTGGTTTGCTTAAGTCTAGTTTGTTTTTTGCTTTTTTTGGATTGTTTTTTAACTAATAAATCTTTGGTTTGACCTAGATTCTAGATCTAGATCTATAAATAACTTTCTTGGACAGATTGTAGATCTAGAGAAATTTATTGTAAAACTAAATAAAAAAGACAGTTGAAAATTGATATAAGTGTTGGAACGTAATACAAAACAGCAAACGGATGTATCATTAAAGCTATAGCCGACAGAATATTAGCTTTAGAACGCGTTAAACGTTGGAATGGGCCACAAAGTCTATGATGGAAGCCGCCATTTTATTGTACTAAAAAGTAAACAAATCATGTGACGTCACTATTAAGCCATTGTTTGAAAAAATTAAAACTAATGTGGTTAATCTACCAATGAATAAATCAATAAATTAATTAAGTTCTTTAAAAAAAATGTGTGATTAACAGTCTGTCTGAAAACAAAATCTGTTCTCTATCTACATACTATTTTACAGCTCTCCACATAGCGCAGATCCTCTACAGTAGTCAATCAGACAAACAAAAAAATAAATAATCAAACATGTAAACAGAGGCGTAGCGAGGGGGGGGGGGGGGTGCGGACCGCACCGGGTGATACCATTTATGGGGGTGACACCGAGGCAAAAAATAGCAAAATATATAGAGAAAAACTTGAGGGGGGGTGCAAATCGAAAGTTTGGGGGGGGGGATACAAATCAAAAATTTGAAAGTTTGTCCCCGGGATGGTCGCTAAGCCTCTGGGGGGGGTGACACCATTAAGTGCCGCACCGGTCGAAACCCGACCTCGCTACGCCACTGCATGTAAACAAACTTGAGTTTTAGTAGCATATAGATAGATATATACTTTTAACAGTGTCCGCCCCCCCCCCCCAAAGAAAGTCTACCGGCCCCCCCCCCCCCCCCAAAAAAAATAATTTCAAGTGCCCCCCCCCCCCGGAGAAAAAAGTCTGGAAGAAATACTGTAAGGGTTATATATAAATAATAACATAGTTGAGTCAAAATAGTTCACAAGCTTTGAAAAAAAAAATGTCTTGTGTGTACTTTCTGTTTCGTTGCTGCAGACCGCTGAAAACAAACGTAGAGGCGCGTCGGTATCCCGTATGATCATGTGATGAAGCCGTCCAATCAAATCCCTGATCGTCGAATCATACAGCATCCAGTTGACCACTGTTAAGTAAAAACAGACTGGTTAGGTTTTTAAGTATATCGCTGAGTTCACCCAGCTCTGATTAGTACCTGACTCAAGGTATGGAAAGTAACATCGGCAAGACATAGTACTCCCTACATTATCTCTTGTTAGGCCCGGGTCACACAAACAGACGAACTATATTTCAGCTACCCAATGGAAAATCAGGCAGGAAATGTTAACTTAAATGTGTTTTTATTTTATGACTCTGGTTAGTGTTTTAATACTCTGATTTCTGAACTATCGAAATACTCGTATTTATCACGAACTAACATTTATAAAGAACTAAGAGGAATGACAAAAATATGCTAGGAGCTATACGCTAGTAGCTATCTCTTTTGGTCTGGAATTTTTTCCCCGTTTCATTGGAATCTTTTTTTACTCAGTTTTTCAGTACTGATGCCACAAAAGGACGCATATTATTTTACCCGTTGATTTAAAACCCACTCAGTTCGATAAAAATTGATCGTAATTGAATTTCCTACACACTAATTTTAATTTTAAGAAATTGTGTATTGAAGAAACTCATTTGTTTACTTAGTTTTGTATAAGAATAAAATGGTTGATTTTTCTGGAAAAAAATGCACTTCTATCTGGAAACTTAATTGTAAAAGTAATTTTCATGAATTCTTACTTATAGAAAACTAAATTGGCTCCATTGCTCTACAAAAAATCATGGATTGGATCAGTAGTATCATATTTTTTTAAATCTTAGTTATTTTACAACGTGACAAGTAAATGTTTAGAAGCGGCGCGGAATGGCGTACCGCCGGTACAAAAACAGGCTGGCAGCTATTACAAGATACATATTTTTACGCTTTGTCCAACGAGGACCAGGTTCAACGTGTTCCTAATTCATCCCAGAATTCGACTTTACATATCAGCTTAACACATCTAATATCTCCACTTCTTACCATGTTTAACCTCCCCTAAACGAAGAAAGCGTGTTTTCAAAAATTATGTCAAGTTTTATGAACTGATTTCTTTCTTTTAAAGTATAATCATGAAGATGTTCTAATTACCTTTTGAAGAAAAGCGATGCCGGGTAAGCCTTACTGATAGAACCTGAAACTGTAGCACCCCACAAAAGACTAGAACAGTAGTAACAACTGCAATGACAGCTGGAAATATTTTTTTAAATTAATTATCGAACAATAGTAAAATTTTAAATTGTAAATATTGAACAACAGTAAAATTTAATTTTAAATATCGAACAATTATAAAATTTAATTTTAAATATATAAAGTGTATATATATATATATATATATATATATATATATATATATATATATATATAAATATATATATATATATATATAAAATATCGTATTCAGAGTAGGCCTACAGGAGAAAATGTTGTAAGCGTGCAAAAAGAAAAATTGAGAATTCGATCTTTCTTCTTCTTATTATTATTTCTTAACATTAGTGTTGGAATGGATCCCCTCCAACACAAGTATACGTGTCAACTGGTTATGCGCCATTCAGGCCATTGACTCCGATTTCAGCCTGCTTTTCCTTTTGGATTTCACTTCCACAGCCTTTGTCCAGCCAAGAACAAACTACAAGGCAGCAGTTGTTTGATTTTGGAGTAGTCTCTCCTAGAATTCGATCAATTTCTGTTATATAGCTACATGAATCCGGAAAAAAAAACATGGATACTCTTTTGTCCCAAGTCTGTCGTCAGTGCGCTCACGATAACTTGAGTTAAATGTAAAATGTACACATTTTCATCAATACAATTTGGATCCTATTCGTCTGTTTATTTCAACTTTTCGAGCGATTTTTGATAACCGGAAGTTACACTAACTATATTTCCGGTTTGCGAAAAACTTTAACTACAGTACCGTTTCAGCTTGGTGGGCGACATTTTACATATCTGTATGAGATCGTATTCGAAGGCTTCTTTTAACTTTTTAATCGAGTTCCGGTACACGGAAATAGTATTTTACTCTACTTCCATATGCTCAACAACTTGAAAATCACTTCAGTTTGGTGGATGAGATTTCATGTACGAGATGCTACATTTAGATATTTCTAGTTTTGCATTACCTGTAACTGAAAAAGATTCGTGACCCTATTTTTAACAAAGTAAAAAGGTTTTTTTTTTCAAAAACTAGCCAACCTGTTCTCTAGTGCTATTTCACTAGAAGTGCCATTCATACCATTACGTTTTACAAAAATACCAGAAAGTTATGGAAAGATAGCTTATTCCCGCTTTAAAAAACTTATTTACATATTTAAACAAAATATATTCGGTCGTTAATTAAATTATTTAACAAAAATTACATGTTTATTAATTGAAATAATTATTTTTTATGTTCATTAATTTAAGCGCTCAATTTTAAAACATAACTTTCGGTAAAAACACAATCGAAATGCGGCTTTTAAAATGTACTTCAGATAATTAAAATTTCATGAAAAAATTATGTTTAAAAAAGTCAATCCAACTTACATTTCTTGGAAAAACATTTACAAAACATGTTTAATGTACTTCCGAATATCCTATACTTATTAATTAATGCAACATCACAAAATTCCGTTTCATAATAGATGTATTATACAACACACATGTATAGCACTATAGCATATCGTGTTACATCAATGCTTTCCGGCTTCAGGAAATAAATAAACGCATTTATTGTTAATGTTGCCTTGTAGCAGAAAAGGCATAAGGTATCGTTATTTATTTTTTTAAATTCTAAACAGTTTTGTCACATTTGATAAGCTGGTTATCTACGTTGTCTGTTAATATGTAAAACAACTTCAAACTACAAAGAAAACGGTGTTGCAATTTTAAAGAACAGCCAAAAACGCGACTGCTTTGCTACAAACGTAAAAAAACTGTTATCAGATTTCAACATTGATTTTTGGCTTATTTAAATTTAATAATAGTAGATATATGGAGATAAAAAATCGCACACTTTGTTTGATTAATCAATTTATAAACTAGGGGAAAAAAGATTTATAAATGCATAAATAAGAAGAATAAAATATTGACGATGTGTAGATATTGAAAAAGAATGAAGGCAGATTAAATGTATGAAGAATGTGACTGGAGTAGATATCGTGTATGGGGTAGTTGTATGACTGCATAGATACATCAATGGGATAGGAAATAAATCCAGTAAAATCTTAATATAATAGAAGGTATACATCGTTAATATAACGGAAGTTAGACTATTTATATAATAGATTGCAGACATGATTTATATAACAGAAAGCAGACATCGTAATATAACAGAAGGCAGACATCGTTAATATAACAGAAGACAAACAACGTTAATATAACACAAAGCAGACGCCGTAATATAAATGTAGGCAGAAATATTTAATATAACAAAGGTACACATTATTAACTGACGGTATTGATTGTTGATAAAAAAAATTAATATTGTTAAAATACACTTAAGGACATGAGCAACATGAAAGAAATAAAAATATTGCGCTTTCATATTTAGAGATTGATATATTTGATAACGTAAATGTGGTCTGTTTTATGTGACTCATTATACGAAGGAGGTTGGGTTGTTTTCTTTTTTTTGGAGGGGTGAGGGGGGGGGGGGGGGGGTTGTATGGTCGGCACCAAGTTCGACTTGTCTTCATTCACAACGTGACTCAGTTCATGAACATTCAGAAACGTTCTCGACTCCGCGTCAGTACGACTGGCGTCACGATAATTTCTTGTTTAATCATAGGTGTTGAGTACCTGCATTACAGTTCTATAGTTGAACAATAGTCTTGAGCAATACGCTGTTCATTGTGCATTGACAAAAAAGAACTTACTAGCTCTCCTCGAGAATGGAACCCACATGGAAAATGGAAGGTTGGCAGGCTAAGTAAATCTCGGAGAAGAGCTATAGAAAGTGTAGCAAGGCGTGTAGGAGTTACATGGGCCAAGCTTAATACAGGCAGCCACACTCGAGTGCCATTAAAAGTTTGAAAACCTTTCCTACACGTGGGGCCTCACACGGGTTAAGTCAACTTTTCTTCATGTACACAGTGTTAGGATCCTCACAGGATTAAGTCAACTACTTTTTATGTCACTATGTTAGCAGCCTCACAGGATTAAGTCAACTATGCTTTATGTACACAATTTAGGAGCCTCACAGGATTAAGTCAACTATATTTTATGTGCACTGTGCTAAGAACCTCACAGGATTAAGTAAACTATGCTTTATGTACTCCGTGTTAAGATCCTCACAGGATTAAGTCAACCATGCTTTATGTATAAAATGTTAGGAGCCTCACAAGATTAAGTCAAATATACTTTATGAACACCACAAAGGTTAGGAGTCTCACGGTATTAAGTCAACTATGCTTTATGTACTCCGTGTTAAGATCCTCACAGGATTAAACCAACTCTGCTTTATGTATAAAATGAAGAGCCTCACAAGATTAAGTCAAATATACTTTATGAACACTACAAAGGTTAAGATTCTCACAGGATTAAGTAAACTATCTGCAAAATGTTAGGTACCTCGCAGGATTATTTCAACTATTCTTTATGTACACAATTGTGTGCACATCGTGACAAACGATTGAACTAATCCGATCGATTTATGAACAGCTGACTCGCTTCATAACCGCTGACACAATATACAAAAACTATTACCCAAAGGATTATGGGCTTACGAAATGTTGCAGTCTAAGTCCCGAGCATGCAGAGAGAATAATTATATACCCACTACAAAAGCTATCATATTTAAAAGCTGTTCGAATTTGGGGATTAAATGTTTACGCTTTCGGTTTTTGTTTTCAAATGTTAAGACGTATTAGTACCGGAACTATACAGCGTCAATTTATTATTCGATACATTAAACCCGCATTACCGGCAGGGAGATTAATGGTTTCATCAATGGAAGGCAAATAGATTAAAATAAAAAAAATTTAAAAGTGTTGAGACTAGACTGAACTGTTTTAAAAGTGTCATTTTGACATGGACCCTTGACCCTAGGTTTCGGTACCGTTCGTGTCATTGACACGTACAAATTGAAAAGAAAATGACAGTAAAATCTGATATAAAAAATAGTGACATATTGATAAGTGACAATAAATTTACTTTTCTTTTTTTAAGTATAGCTTATTTTAACTAAGAAGTACATTCGAACACATCTTTTTTTAAAAATCTAAGTATATTATTTTTTAGTTAACTACATTTTATGTATATTTCTGCGTGAGTCAGTTCAGATACAGATTATATAGATATTACCATGCTTCAGGGGGTCGGTCTGGCCGGGTCGGTTAAGCTCATGGTTGCTGAACCGTGGAGCACCGAGTCTCAGGCAGATGTGGCTCGATAGCTGGGGACAGCAACTCTTCTAGGAAGGACAACTCCCTAAATCAAACAACTGCTGCCTTGTTGTTTGTTCTTGGATGGACAAAGGCTATGGAAGCAAATCCAAAAAGAAAAGCAGGCTGAATCAGAGTCAACGGTCTACAGAGGCGTAGCGATGGGGGGGGACACATATGTCCCCGGGCGCCGACCTTAGGGGAGGCGCCAAATTGAAAGTTTGAGGGGGGGGGGGGGTGCAAATGAAAAGTTCGAGGGGGGGGGTGCAAATCGAAAGTTTGAGGGGGGTGCAAATGAAAAGTTCGGGGGGGGGGGGGGTGCAAATCGAAAATTTGCTCCCGAGGGGGGCTCCAAATTGAAAGTATGTCCCCGGGCGCCGGGAAGGGTCGCTACGCCTCTGACGGTCTATATGGCTCATAAAATTTGACACAATGGAAACCCAAAGAAAACGAAAGAGATGGCGCCCAAGGCAGACCTGAAGGTTGAGTCTACTCAAAGAACTGAAGCAACAGGGGTATCTTTGGAGATTGCAAAACTAATAGGCGGGAATCGGACGAAATGGAAGGAAATGGTGGAGGTCCTATGTTCCATAATGAGCAACGAGGACTAAGTCAAGTTGTCAAGTTGAAACATAATACTTAATTGTGCTGGATGGCATTCCTTCTAACACTAAAATTAAGAACGAAGCAGCAGGGCCATGCTTCAATATCTACATTGTGAGGTGTTTGACAAATCTACTCCAACCTATCGGTTGATATCACACGGGGCTTAGATTTATGTGCACCAAGACAGTGTCTGATAACCCATGTGTTCACATTGTGGATGTTTACTGATGTATATACATTAAAAGCGGATTAAACGTGTTTGATGAACAGAGGCGAGTTGTCGGATTAAGTCATAAACGTTGGAGTAGGGCAGGGGTCTCCAAACTACGGCCCGCGGGCCTGATGTGGCCCGCGAGGTCCTCCTATCCGGCCCGCGGAGATCTTTTTTGTTCAAAACTCATTTGAAGCAAATGTGGCCAGTTGTCCAGATGAACGAACTACAGATGGGGGTCATTGAATAGCAAGCAAATGACTCCCCCCCCCCCCAAAGAGATGCCTTAAAGAAACTCTGGCCCCCGAACAGATATTTGATAGTTAATGATACGGCCCTCGGGCTGAAAAGTTTGTAGACCCCTGGAGTAGGGGATGGCAGTGTAAGGTGTTGTATATCTGTCTGTTGCAACTGGATTTGGAAAAGTAGCGAGGCCAGTACTTCTGCTATCTTCAAGTACCATGTAGAGATTTTTGTGTGGAAGTAATCGGTCGTGATTTATGGTGTCATGCACTTTAACATATTATTTCATATGTGGGTTAATGGTGTTTTACTCCCCAGTAGTGTAGGGGGCACTGTATTCTAATGTGTGTTCTTGATTTATATATATATATATATATATGTATATATATATATATATATATATATATATATATATATATATATATATATATATATATATATATATATATATATATATATATATATAGTTGAGAAAATATATCCAAGTAAAATGTTTAAAAAGATTTCAAATAAATGGCAAATGGAGCTTTACATCTAGATCTAATACTAAATTAGTTTTGACGCTGAAAAAGTTAACCTGCTTTTTATAGTGCCCAACCTGATGTAGATCTATAAGGTTTTGCAAAAAAATTTTTTTTTTAAATTTTCTTTTCCTCACGTATTGATTCGATAACAATTAATTGGTTTTCACCTTTCAATATTTTTTGCTATTAGAAATAAAAGGCAAGACAGAAATTTAATTTCATTGTTCGATTTTCGTAATCAATTCAAGATTTAAATTGAAAAATATATCCGAAGAGTATTTGGTTATTGATAAGAAGAAATTCAATACAGTTGTGACGAGGGATGGGCGAGATGGGGGGTGGGGGTGGTGAGATGGGGAAGATGGGGGTGGTGAGATGGGTGAGATGGGATTGGTGAGATGGGTGAGATGGGGGTGGTGAGATGGGGAAGATGGGGGGGTGAGATGGGGGAGATGGGAGGTGAGATCGGGGAGAGGGAGAGATGGGGGTTGGTGAGATGTATGGTGGTGAGATGGGGGAGATGGTGAGATGGGGAGATGAGGGAGATGGGGGGTGGTGAGATGGGGAGATGGTGAGATGGGGGAGATGTGGGGGTGAGATGGGGGAGATGGGTGAGATGGGGTGAGATGGGGGGAGATGGGGGGTGAGATCGGGGAGATGGGGGAGATGGGGGTGGTGAGATGGGGAGATGGGGGGTGGAGAGATGGGGGAGATGGGGTTGGTGAGATGGGGAAGATGGGGTTGGTGAGATCGAGAAGATGGGGGAGATGGGGGTGGTGAGATGGGGAGATGGGGGTGGTGAGATGGGGAGATGGGGGTGGTGAGATCGGGGAGATGGGGGAGATGGGGGTGGTGAGATGGGGAGATGGGGGTGGTGAGATCGGGGAGATGGGGGAGATGGGGAGATGGGGGAGATGGGGGTGGTGAGATGTGGGAGATGGTGAGATGGGGGAGATGGGGGAGATGGGGGGTGAGATGGGGGAGATGGTGAGATGGGTGAGATGGGGGAGATGGGGGTGAGATGGGGGAGATGGGGGAGATGGTGAGATGGGGGAGATGGGGGGTGAGATGGGGGAGATGGTGAGATGGGTGAGATGGGGGAGATGGGGGAAATGGGGGGTGGTGAGATGGGTGAGATCGGGGAGATGGGGGAGATAGGGGGCGAGATGGGGGAGATGGGGGAGATGGGGGGTGGTGAGATGGGTGAGATCGGGGAGATGGGGGAGATAGTTTTAAAAATTGTTCTCAGATTCTGTTGTAAGATGATGTAGCTATTGCCTTTGTTTTCTATTCATCACTTGGGTCTTTCATTGTTTCCTCTCGCTATCATCTGTTTATGGTGTAGTAACAAAGACCTCCCACTCCTATCTGTTTTGTGACCAGATTATGCAGCCTCTTTGTATCGGATGACCAATGTATCTGCATATTTTTGTCCTTCTGAAGATGTTTCGTTTTGGTTATTTTTTTCCGGCGGCCGTAGAATAAAGTTTGTGTTATTGAATGCTGATAGTACACTACAATATTACTGTCATTAGGTTTATGAGAATGCAGCTCGTCTTTATTTTGAGTATAATTTAAGTCCTGTATAGTACTGATATTGTGGGACGGTGTGGTAGAGAGCTAGACTGCTAACCCGAGAGTCTCGAGTTCGAATCCGGTTTCAAATTACTAGAACGTCCCTGAGTCCACCCAGCTATAATGGGTACCTAACTTACGTTAGGGAAACAAAGGCGGCTGGGCTTAGTGCTGACCACACTATCCCTTCATATGCCGAGGTCTATGCATCAGATGAACTCTACTTCATCTGTCCCATGTGTTTTGGGCACGAACGGGATTACGAGGAAGAAGAAGATTGTACTGATATAAATAGCGTATTAGTATTTTAAACGGCAGTTCTTATATTGTTAAAACAAATCAGAGTTGACTTGAACCCGGAATCGACCTCGAGATTTTCCGATTACTTGGATTATTCTAGCAAAATCACGTTTAGTGCCCGACAAATTGCTAAGAACAAAAGACTGAGGACAAACTAAACCAAAGCGTTCGTTTTTGTTTTTTCTTTTATTTATGTATCGGTTTTAAAAAGTAACAACATTCTCACAACACTGATCCGTCTGTACCTTGAGGTTGTAGGGGAAGGGCATGACAAACTTGCCCACATGATGGTCAAACAACTTCGCCATGATGATCCCTAGGGCCGACTGTTCAAATCTAAAACCATTTTTTTTTACTTTCACGCATACGAATTAAAAATTTTAAATAATAAAATAAAATTACTTCCAGAATCTGGAAGCAAGGTCTAGAAACAAATAGCAGGCTGTTTTTTTTTTTTTGTTTTTTTTTTTTCTCAATGGGAATCGTATTAAAGAAAAATTTTAAAAATTTAATTCTCTCCATAGCTAACGAGATTTCAAACTTAAAGCCAGAGAGTGAGACTTACGTGGCTTATTGTTCTGGTACAAACCGGACCAGGTTATTTTTAAACATCGGGAAATCCCGTGTGCCCTACTTACGAGTGGCATTTGAGGGCGCTGGCATCCTTATATCTGCAGGAGTTGTAGACACTGACTGGCCGAGGGCACATGCAGTCCGCCTGCCACGCGCACTTGGCCCAGGGTTCCAGCACTGCCCGCACGGTCAAGGGGTCGTTGCGAAACATGGCGACGTTACCATAGAAACCAGGAAACTCCGTGTAGGCGCATGGCACTTCTCCGAAATAAGAGAAAGTCTGACGAGTAAAAAAAGTTCCCTCTGATGAAAAGTCTTAATAATTCTACAAAAATTAGATGGTTTATAAAATTACTTAAAAATGATAACAACAATGACCAAACATTTTTTCAAAGTAAGATATTAACAAACCGACGAACTGTGAAATTATTTTGACTTAAAATTGAATTTTTCAGGTTAAACACCATTAAAAAAATATATCGCTGTAGCTCCCCTGCAAATGGGGGTCGAAGTGGTCTAGTGGTAGAGAGCTAGACTGCTAACCCGTAAATCTTGAGCTCGAATCTGGGTTAAAGGCAGTAGACCGTCTCTGAGTAAAGGCGGCTGGGCATAGTGCTGACCACACTATCCCTTCATATGCCGATGTCACAGAAACAAGTGAAGTAGAGTTCACATGTCCTATAGACCGTCAGGTTTGAAAAGGAAACTTTACTTAATTTCCCCGAGCACGTCTTTCAGGACAGTTCCTTATATAGCCAGGCTCGATCGGAACACTATACACCCCACTCAAGGAAAAAATATATGGGGTACCCGCGGATCTGGAGACCACAGTCCAGTTCATACACGCAGTTGGGCTTGTTGTTTAAATCCTACACCATAAACTAAATTAAGAACGCAGAAGAAAAGAGGAAGAAGCTGTTACTCCTCTTAAGAAGAAATGTTAGGGAGGATTTAACATGAAACTATCTAGCTACTCTGATGTGCAGATAATAAATTGTGTTATTTTCTATCATAAAACAAGTTACATGGCAAAAAATAAAAGTTCTCCAACAAATTAGTACCGTACGCCCCCCCCCCCCCCTCCACAGATTCGGCTGGGTTCGAACTCGAGACGATCGGGTCAAGCGCGACCAATGCGACATCTGAACCCAAAAAAAAAACTAGTTTTTACCTTTTCGTCTGTGGCTACTGGTAGTCGAACGGCTGTCGCTAGCCTCAGCAGCTGTACGCCGACCTGCAGCGTCCGATTAACGGCGTCATCAGTGTCCTCCGTCCAGCGGAAGGACGGATCTTGCCAGATAAGTACTTTGCTTACTTTTTTAATCATGGCCTGCCAAATAAAAAAAAAACATTAAATTATTTTCATTAACCTTGATTTAATATCATATTAATTATTTACGAACCTGGCAGCTTTATGGAAAGCTGTCTCACTTTATAATCGCTAAGCAGCAAATCACCAAATTATAAATCTTATGAACATAGTTTAATCAAGATATTATCCTAACAATTATAGCTTTATGAAAAACTGGCCGGGTTTATAATCAACAATTCATTACCCTTATGATTATATCTGTATGAAAAATCTGCTTACTTTCTAGTTACCAACTCATTACCGTAATGATTATAACTTTATAAAACGTTGGTTCACTTTATAATTACCAATACATTACCCTAATGATTATATATGTATGAAAGCCTGCTCACTATTTAATAAACTAATCACTCCGATGATTATAGCTTTAATGAAAAACTTGTTCACTAGTTAATTAACTCATTACCCTAATGATTATAACTTTATAATCACCAATCAATTACCCTAATGATTATAACGTTATAATCACCAATCAATTACCCTAATGATTATAACGTTATAATCACCAATTCATTACCCTAATGATTATAACTTTTTAATCACCAATTCATTACCTTAATGATTTTAACTTTATAATCACCAATTCATTACCCTAATGATTATATCTGTATGAAAAACTTGTTCACTAGTCAATCAACTCGTTACCCTAATGATTATAGGCTCCAACCCTTGCAGCCCAAGTCCCGTACATGCAGAGGGAACATATGTAGAGGGAGATCAACAATCTGACACTGGAAGGTTGTCTCTAACTGGGGAATAAATTGTTCAGACACTTTTTGCTTGTTTTTAAAATGTAACGGTTTCAGCGGACTTTCTTTCAGGCATCTCTTCGGGTAGACAAGACTGTCAAATTTGATTTATAACCAGTGTCCACCCCCCCCCCAACGCGGTATTTTGTACCCTCACACACGCGTATATTTCAAGTGCCCCCCACCGTATATTTCAAGTGCCCCTCATCGTATATTTCAAGTGCCCCTCATGGTATATTTCAAGTGCCCACATCCACATATGTAAAGTGCCCCCACCGTATATTTGAAGTGCCCCGATATATTTCAAGTGCCCCTCCCCCCTCAAAAAGGAGAAAAAATGTCTGAAAGAAACATTGTTGTAGCTGTGAATTCCTAGCGAAAATTAAAAAAAATAATAATTACGCCTAACGTGAATTTTTTAAAACGCAGACAGGTTTCCACTCGTACACCCTGGTCCCCATATAGCATTGACGATGGAGGAGGGGGGGTGGGGGGGAAGGGTCATGATGATAGGTTTGATTTGAAAATAAACGATTGTTAAGAAAAAAAAAAGTGTAGATGTATATTAATTAAGAAATATACATGAACTACAAAAATGAAGAAAAGCTACGTTACTATATTATCTGACGATAGTATTTGAGTGTCGTGATACGTGTTCTATTTGTCCATTCAGCAATGTTTGTAATGAGTACACACACACACACACACTATCGGTTGCTACAACACAAGGAGTGGATTTAGAAAACTGGACCAGCCGTTACGTAATCCAGCTAATCTGAGAGATTATCGTTTGATATTAGTTTACTAATGTATTGACTTGTGAAATCGGATCATACGTGTTCGTTGAGCAGACAGCATTCAGCGGCGTAAGGACGAATTAGTGAGGGGTGCGTGGGTGGTGGGGGGGGGAGTTTGGTGTTTGAAGTGTATTTGTATCCAGGTACTATTTAGACCTGAGTGGGGTCATCAATTTGAGTTCTGAAATGGAAAATGGCCTGATTCTAAAAATTGAGACCTTAGGAATAGCGTAACTTATCACAAAGCTGACCCCCCCCCCCCCCTCCACGCCCAACTTCCTACAAGCAGAGCCCCAGTAGACGCATAAGCATAGACGCATGAGCCTTTAATGATACGCGCATGTTATTTGTCAGCCGTTCGTGTTACGTCACATAGACCTGCCACTGTAACATAACCCTAAGCCTATAACGTCATATTGACCTACGCCTCTGACGTCACGTATCCATACGCCTCTCACTCATATACCCCTACGGCTCCGACGTTACAATTCAGTACGCCTCTGAAGTCATATACCCCTACACCTCTGACATCACATAGCCCTACGCCTCTGTTAGGAACTTAAGATACACCTTAAACCCGGAAGCCCCAGATGTCAGAATACAAACAGAACACACACACACACACACACTCACACACACACACACACACACACATACAATACTGCACCTACATCCACTCGCTCCTGGCCCGTTAATCCCAAATCAAACACGACAACCCGGAAGTGGAATGGCGTGTGTTTGAAAACCCTGCCCAGGTTGGCCAACATGTAGATCAGCTCGCTGTACCGGGTGGTGCCCCCCGCGGTGACGATGACGTTTTCCATGACCGGAAGTGACGACGTGAGGGACAAGATGGCGTCGAGTTGTGGTCTCGTCAGTGCGAACTTGCTGGAGGTCACGATTTCCCATAGACGGATGGTGTAGTTTTTCTCCATAGTGCAGTTAGATTTACAGGCTAGATAGAGACATACATAGAACGAGTGGCAATTGCATTATGAATACGAAGCTTGTCTAAAGAAGAAATGGAATGGTAACTATGAGAACTGGAGGGACGGTGTGGCCTAGCGGTAGAGCGCTAGACTGCTGACCGGAGTCTCGAGTTCGGATCCGGGCTCAACACAGTTGAACGTCCCTGAGTCGTTCAGCTCTGATGGGTACCTGGCTCATGTTAGAGAATTAAAATGCGCTTGGGCAAAGTACTGACCACAATTACCCTGTAAGTAATGCTGGGCATATTGCTGACCACACTATCCGTTCTTATGCCGAGGTCACAGAAACTATCCCCATGGACCGTAAGGTTCGAAAAGAGAACTTTTTTTTATAGCTGAATTAAGGGTATGACTAGTAGTCGTAATGGCCGTATGTGGTTAAAAGGGGTGAATGGATATACCAAGGGTTTTTTTTCAGACTTTTGTCTCCTTGAAAGGGGTGTGCACTTGAAGCTTCCATCGGGGTGAGGGTGTACGGGGCGGTCACTGGTTAAAGTATATATTTTCAATTATGTTTTTGAATTTAGTGTTGTTGAGTGGGAGAGGGAAAACTGTAGTGTGGTTAGCTCTATACCCAACTGTTTCTTATTCTAGCTAACGTGAGTCAGTACCAACCTGAGCTGGGAGAACTCAAGGTCGTCCTACGGATTCAAACCCGTGATCCTAACTCATGACTTTTCGGTTAGCAGTCTCTGCCATCCGACCATGCCACTTATGGTGCTACGTCATTATTATATACGTTATATTTTGACAATATTTGTCACTGTATCTATTTATAAAAATGTGGTACGCAAACAATGGACCTGTAATGGGTTTAATTTTAATAGCTGTCGGCTGTCTATGTCCTAGTAGGACAACAAGCAAGTCTTTTACCTAATTTGGATGTCAGGCCTTGTCCTAGTAGGACAACAAGCAAGTCTTTTACCTGATTGGATGTCAGGCCTTGTCCTAGTAGGACAACAAGCAAGTCTTTTACCTGATTGGACGTCAGGCCTTGTCCTAGTAGGACGGTAAACCGTGTCCAAGTAGGATGGTAGGATTATGTCCTAGTGGAGCGACATAATTATGTCCTATTTATACGACAGATGGGACGACAGGCCTATATCCTAGTAGGACGGAAGGTCTATTGCCTAGTAGGACGACACCAGTAGATTATAGACACCTTTGACCACCGCCCATTTCTGAACAGAATCAAGACATGTCTGAAAAACCCCTGAGCCATGACCCAACAGACCCCTGACTTACCCATGAAAATATCCCAGACCCCTAACAAACCCCTGACGTAGCCCTGAGGAGACCCCTGACTTACCTATAAACAGATCCCAGACCCCCAACAGACCCCTGACTTACCCATGAAAATATCCCAGACCCCTAACAGACCCCTGACTTAGCCCTGAGGAGACCCCTGACTTACCCCTGAACAGACCCCTGACTTACCCCTGAACAGACCCCTGACTTACCCCTGAACAGACCCCTGACTTACCCCTGAACAGACCCCTGACTTACCCCTGAACAGACCCCTGACTTACCCCTGAACAGACCCCTGACTTACCCCTGAACAGACCCCTGACTTACCCCTGAACAGACCCCTGACTTACCCCTGAACAGACCCCTGACTTACCCCTGAACAGACCCCTGACTTACCCCTGAACAGACCCCTGACTTACCCCTGAACAGACCCCTGACTTACCCCTGAACAGACCCCTGACTTACCCCTGAACAGACCCCTGACTTACCCCTGAACAGACCCCTGACTTACCCCTGAACAGACCCCTGACTTACCCCTGAACAGACCCCTGACTTAGCCCTGAACAGACCCCAGACTTAGCCCTGAACAGACCCCAGACTTAGCCCTGAACAGACCCCAGACTTACCCCTGAACAGACCCCTGACTTACCCCTGAACAGACCCCTGACTTAGCCCTGAACAGACCCCTGACTTACCCCTGAACAGACCCCTGACTTAGCCCTGAACAGACCCCAGACTTACCTATAAACAGATCCCAGACCCCCAACAGACCCCTGACTTACCCATGAAAATATCCCAGACCCCTAACAGACCCCTAACTTAGCCCTGAGGAGACCCCTGACTTACCCCTGAACAGACCCCTGACTTACCCCTGAACAGACCCCTGACTTACCCCTGAACAGACCCCTGACTTACCCCTGAACAGACCCCTGACTTACCCCTGAACAGACCCCTGACTTACCCCTGAACAGACCCCTGACTTACCCCTGAACAGACCCCTGACTTACCCCTGATCAGACCCCTGACTTACCACTGAACAGACCCCTGACTTACCCCTGAACAGACCCCTGACTTACCCCTGAACAGACCCCTGACTTACCCCTGAACAGACCCCTGACTTACCCCTGAACAGACCCCTGACTTACCCCTGAACAGACCCCTGACTTACCCCTGAACAGACCCCTGACTTACCCCTGAACAGACCCCTGACTTACCCCTGAACAGACCCCTGACTTAGCCCTGAACAGACCCCAGACTTAGCCCTGAACAGACCCCAGACTTACCCCTGAACAGACCCCTGACTTACCCCTGAACAGACCCCTGACTTACCCCTGAACAGACCCCTGACTTAGCCCTGAACAGACCCCTGACTTACCCCTGAACAGACCCCTGACTTAGCCCTGAACAGACCCCAGACTTAGCCCTGAACAGACCCCAGACTTAGCCCTGAACAGACCCCAGACTTACCCCTGAACAGACCCCAGACTTAGCCCTGAACAGACCCCTGACTTAGCCCTGAACAGACCCCAGACTTAGCCCTGAACAGACCCCAGACTTAGCCCTGAACAGACCCCAGACTTACCCCTGAACATCTCTTTAGAATTTGTTCCACTGCTGCATGACGGGATAGCCCCAAGGGTCACGGTCCGGCTAGCTGGAGACAGCCCGGCGTTGTATCTGTCAAGCAGCATGGACCACGTCAATGCGTCCAGCGTAGCCGACGGTACACGAGTCTCCCGGACGTCCGCCGGTTTCTGGTGCTCTGGGAAAGATACGTTTTGTGTAGGTCAACTTTGTTGAATAAAATAATCCTCACATTTAAGAAAAACATATAGATCTGTTCACAAATCACAAAAACTAAAACACCAAAATAAAAATAAAAGTGCACTAAAGTAAAAAAAAAGTAAAAAAAGAAAATTACTTTGGTATTATCTTACAAAAAGCTATATGCTGGTGTGACTAAAAATAAAATTCCAACCTACTCCTGGCCGATGGCGAATCGAGCATCAGCCCATACATTAATCTTAAATCTTACGTAATTATGTATCTAATTAGATCCATTAAAATATATCTTAACCCTAAATACACCAATGTGTCTTGACAGAAAAAAAAATCGAATAAATCTAATTAAAACCAACATGTAAATATTATTCTACACTTAATACTAATGCTAATTCTAAACCCTTTCCCAAACATAACCCTACACCTAATACTAATGTTACTTTTAAATCAATACCCACACATGACCTTAATTATAATCTAACCAACAGTAAGTTATTTGAACACACAAAAATCAGCCAATCAGATTTCACCTTTTAGTTTTTCAAACGCCAAAACCTCGTTTGATTGGTTGTAATACCAGACGACCGGCATAATTAATGAGAGGCTAATGAGAGCTAACACACACGTGATGCTGGCGTCTGGGGAGAGAAATCAGAGTTTAGCACTGAGTACTCATAGGTACTGATAAGGACTCGTGGTCACTTATGGGTACCTATGGGTACTTATGGGGACTTATGGGTACCCGTGGTAACTTATGGGTACTCGTGGTCACGTATGGGTACTTTTTGGTACCCTAGTCGCTCATGGGTAATCATGGGTACCCGTGGTCACTTATGGGTACTTATGGGTACCCGGGGTAACTAATGGGTACTTATTGGTACCCGGTGTAACTTATGTGTACTTATGGGTACCCGGGGTAACTTATGGGTACTGATGGGTACCCTTGGTCACGTATGGGTACTTATGGGTACTTATGGGTACGTATGGGTACTTATGGGTACTTATGGGTACCCGTGGTAACTAATGGGTATTTATGGGTATTAATGGGTACCCGTGGTATCTTATGGGTACTTATGGGTACTCGTTGTCACTTATGGGTACCAGTAGTTACTTATGGTTACCCGGGGTCACTTATGGGTATTTATAAGTACTTATGCATCAGTTGTGTGATATAGTATGTGAATTCTCCTGTAGATTATACCACATATTTTGTGATTTTGTTTTTCTGTCAGTTTGTTGTTGGTGGTATGCTTGGTCCCACTGTTAAGGTCAAGGTTGAAGCTAAGGCAAGGTTTAAAGGTAAGGTCAGGGTTAGGGTTAAGACAAGGGTTCGAGGTAAGGTCAGGGTTAGGATTAAGTCAAGGGTTAGAGGTGAGGTCAGGGTTAGGATTAAGTCAAGGGTTAGAGGTGAGGTCAGGGTTAGGGTTAAGTCAAGGGTTAGAGGTAAGGTCATGTTAGGGTTAAGTCAAGGGTTAGAGGTAAGGTTAGGGTTAGGGTTAAGTCAAGGATTAGAGGTAAGGTCACGTTAGGGTTAAGTCAAGAGTTAGAGGTAAGGTCAGGGTTAGGGTTAAGTCAAGGGTTAGAGGTAAGGTCATGTTAGGGTTAAGTCAAGGGTTAGAGGTAAGGTCAGCGATAGGGTTAAGTCAAGGGTTAGAGGTAAGGTCATGTTAGGGTTAAGTCAAGGGTTAGAGGTAAGGTTAGGGTTAGGGTTAAGTTAAGGGATAAAGTTAAGGCAAGGGTTTCAGTTAAGTAAAAGGATGAAGTTGAGGCAAGGGTTAGAGTTAAGGTCAGGGTTAGGGTTAAGTCAAGGGATAAAGTTAAGGCAAGGGTTTTCCTAACGTGTGTAAGTTACCCATAAGAGCTGGGTGGACTCAGGGACTTTCAACTGACTTGAACCCGGATTCGAACTCAGGACTTTCGGTTTAGCAGTCTAACGCTCTACCGCTGCGATACGTCGTTCCATTTATACTAATTTAAACAACGTGCTTTTATTAGCTTTAACCCTTTATTAACCCAAACCCTAAAAATAGACGTCAATTAGTATATCTACTTCAGAATGCGGTAACCATAGTTACATGTCACTAAACCTGATCCTACCACACAACAACCAAGTAACACGCCTATATCAAGAGGGGTCTACAGGGGACGGCGTGGCCTAATCGGTAGACCGCTAGGCTGATAACCCAAAAGTCTTGAGTTCGAATCTGGGTCCAAGTCATTAGAACTTCCCATCTCTAATGGGTGCCTAACCCATGTTGGGAAAAGTTAAGGCAGCTTTGCAAAGTGCTGACCACACTTTACCGAGGTCAAGAAACATGAAATTTGCTTCATCTGCCCAATTTATCTCACTGTTCTTCCATGAATCATTACTTTTTACTGACGGCTATTGGTAGCATTAACTTTCGCTTTAAATCTAATATAATCTAGATCTAGTTTATTAACTGTGTAGGCCTATTCTAGTTTTTTAATAACTTAATTATTAACTCCATCCCTAACTAACCCAAGTCTTACCGTAGCCATATAGCAAAGCTGAACCTAGCCCTACTGACCTATTCTAGTATGAGTCCAAATCGAAAGTCTGAGGTGGGGGTGCAAATCGAAAGTTTGTCCCCGGGCGCCGGGAAAGGTCACTACGCCTCTGGTCCATTACCGGACAACTAGCCCACCCGCCTCCCCTCCCCTTAACACCCCACCCCCCCCCCCCCCCCACACGATGCTACCTGTTAATTACCACGCCAAACTTACAAGATCTAACCAAGTTTCGTTTTCTAGCAAACATTACTATCTTGCAATCACTTTTTGAACCGGAAGTTCTGTCGATTCGTGTCAATACCATGTTTGTTGTCTGCAAACACAGACAGGCGTCTACGTCATCAAATATTGCGTATTGAAAATGTTAATATACAGTGGAAATATTTAACGATTTTAATTTTAAATAATTATAATTATATATATATATATATATATATATATATATATATATATATATATATATATATATATATATATATATATATTAAAGCCGATAAAACACCCGTAGCTGTTTAAGATTCAATAATATATCTATTCAGTGAGAGAGAAAGAGTTTTCCCCCAACCAATCTCACAATCAATATTCCAGGAAAATGATTACTCCGCACCTTTGACCACACTGTGTAGCTGAAAACTGACCGCTAGTAAACACAGCTAACCCAAATGCCTGTAAGGACAAGGCACCTAGTATAAAAGCCCCGCTGTTGTCAAATCGCCAATTGTCAAATCCCCTATACTTAAAACAAATGACGACAAAGTTCCAGTTACCAAAAACGATTGAAATCGTTTGAAATAAATAACTTAAAATATTCAAATACAATCTAGACGCATTTTGTGCGCTTTTATACATTTTTTGTGGTGCGCATTTCTTGCATTTATTTGTTCAATAAAAAGGAAAAGGTTCCCCTTTTCAAGAAAATATCCTAGATCTATACTACAAACCCTTGCTCTGTAAAAAGTTGCAAAAATTTCTCTTCAACTGTCTATTTTACATTTTGGTGCAGTCAACATTCGCTTGTTATTAAGTTTTAATATGATAAATAATCAACACTACAGAAGGGAAAATAGAAAATTAACAGAAAATTAACAGGCTTTACATCGATTAAAATTTCTATTCAGTAGATAAACTCTACTTCATCTACACCTTTTTGACAGCACGGTTTAATAATTAAATGGGCCTACTTTACTGTTTAACGCATTACTCAAAAGTGTGTTCCTGTTCTGCAACTAAATATAGCAACAAACGAAACCACCTAAAAGGAAATTCCCGAAAAATACCCGGGCACCGTATCGCACCAGTGTGACGTCACGGCATGCTGTCATCGTTTGTTGGGGAGCTGCATGGTTGACCATAAAAACAAATCTTTTTTTTTTTAAACATTTCGCACTGGTCAAACAACTCACCGCCAAGATGGAGGATATACTTCATGAAATTCAATGGTAATGAGTGTTAATTAAACGAATGTGCTAATTTTAAAATTAAACACATTTTTATGACGTCATGCGTCTAGAGTCAAGACTTCAGACTTGTTCTATAGATTTGGATCTCGTCTATATATCTCTCTATCTAGATCTAGTCTAGATCTAGATCTAGATCTAGATTTAGATCTCTAGATCTAGAATTCTAGATTAGAATTGATTAGATCTAGATCTAGATATAGATCCTATAGTCTAGATTCTAATCTATAGACTAGATCTAGATCTATAATCTAGAAATGTAGAATACATCGTGATCTCGATTTATATCTATCATATCTAACGCGATAGATTTTAAAATCTAGATATCTAGATCTAGACTTAGATTCTGGATCCTATTTTTCACTGAATGAAATCGCAAAGCGAAAAATGTATGGTACACATCTCGCATATCATTCAAACCTAATTTAGTTGATTATGAATCTATTATAAACGATATTTTATTTAAGAACCAACGCTAACCTTACTCATATCTCTAATAATAATCACCAGCCTAAGCGTAAGTGATATCGAAAGCATAGTCACATTTCTAGTCATAACCCTAAACTTTGCCCTATTTTTTCAATGACTTAAACCCGAACTATTATAATGGCATGATCGTATTGAAGTTTTTTTGTTGATGTCAATTTCTTATCAAGGTCTAGGACATCATCACCTCACTCCCCGGTCATCAGCTCCCCCCTGTCAATTACTCTCCTCGGATGATTTACCATTGTTTGCATCCATAATAATTTAAACCCTAACCCTGCCTTAGCTCTTGGCATATCCCTAACCCTATCCCGACGCAACCCCTTACCTTGTCCTTGAACCAATCACTAACCCTATCCCTGTCCCTGACATATTCCCTAACTCTATCCCTGACCAAATCCCTGACCCAATTCCTTACCCCCATCCCTGAACCAATTCCTAACCTATCCCTATCTCTGAACCAATCTAACCCAATTTCTAACCCTATCCCTGACAAATTCCTAACCCTATCCCTGACCAATCCTGAACCAATCCCTAACCCTATCCCTGATTAATCCCTAACCCTATCCCTGACAAATTCCTAACCCTATCCCTGACCAATCCTGAACCAATCCCTAACCCTATCCCTGACCAATCCTGAACCAATCCCTAACCCTACCCCTGATAAATCCCTAATCCTATCCCTGACAAATTCCTAACCCTATCCCTGGCCCAATCCCTAACCCTATCACTAACCCTACCCCTATCTCTTAACAAATCCCTAACCCTATCCCTGACCACTCCCTGAAAAATTCCTAACCCTATCTCTGATAAATCCCTAACCCTATTCCCGATAAATCCCTAACCCCCTATCCCTGATAAATCCTGAACCCTATCTCTGATAAATCCCTAACCCTATCCCTGACCAAATCCCTAACCCTACCCTTTTAATAACTGTGAGGCTTAACAGCGGTAATGCAATGTGGGGGGGGGGATACATATGCAGTGAAGGGGGGTAATTGGCAGATTGACATAAGGTAATTGATATGGGACTAATGACGGGGGAAATGAGTGGGGTGGGGGGGGGGTAACTGAAGAGATTAATGTCCTGACCTCACTTTAACCCATAGAACA